CTATCACTCTGCCACTGAACTAAACCCCCAACCTCTCTAAAAATTTCAATTTATTTATTTATTTACTTGCTCTCACATAGTATATGTGCAGAGGCCAGAGGAAAACAGCCTGTTCTCTCCTTTGATCATCTGGTTCCCAGGCTTAAGTCAGACTTGACAGGAAGTGTCAGCCCAATCAAGCCTCTTTAGGAACAAGGAATTAAGGAATGAGGCTGTTCCAAGTATGAAAAGATGTGCTGTAGGTGTAGTCTAGTTCAGTGGTAGGGCATTTACCTTCTATGTATGAGGTTCTAGGTTCAATTACTATCAACATTACAAAACAAAACCAAAAATAGATGACACAAAAATAAAAGTAAACACAATCTTGAATTATGTAGATAATATTGAGTAGATAACTCAAGAAAGATTAAGTAACTTAATAGGTCACTTAACTGAAATTTCTCACATTAATCCATAATATCCTTGAATATACAATATTTGTCTTTTTTAGGGGCCTGTGTTGAGATAGCCCAGCAGTTAAAAGCACTTGCCACACAAGCCTGATGATCTGAGTTTGATCCCAGGAACCCACAGTGGAAAAGGAGGACCAATTCTTAGATTACTCTTTTGACTTCTACACGTGCACCCACAGCATACGTTCTTGCTTACAATCATAATCACAGATACACAAAATAAAATATTAAATGAATATTTTTATAGCACAAAAATGATGTGTTTAGAATCTCTTTACTAATATTACCTTAGTTTTATACAAGTGACTTTACATACCTCTATCACCCTATTTAAAAGAAGGGCTAGTTGTGTCCATTAGGGAGTATACAGGGATCCTGCTTAACTTACTGCCATGTACGGCACTACCCAAAGAATTACCTAGCCTAAAATGTCAAAACTTTGAGAAATTCCATCTTAGTTTACCACAATATAAGTAACTTGTTCAAAAATGGTCAGTCATATTCATCTGTTCACCTAGCTTATCATCAATTCTCAATACACATTACTTCCGTGAAGAAATAACACTAATAAAAGTTTAAAGAACAATACAGATTGAGAATGCCTAAGACAAAAAAAATCTTAAATTTGAAATGATCTCAAGTCTGAAAGTCTTTGAACACAGACTTGATACTCATTGTTTTGGATATTGAAATATCTGAGGTTTCTGGACAGAGATGCTATGTGATAGTTTGTTTATACACTGTTTCAAAATCTAAATAAAATACTCTGAAATCTATAACACTGGTTCTAAGCCATTTTGAATAAGGAATATTCAATTTACACTAAATTTTCAACTTTCGATATTCCAAAGAAGAAAGGTGTCTGTCCAGTGTAGAGGTTCTGATTGTACTACCACAAAACCTTCCTTAACATAGAAGATTTATCTCTGAGGGCAAGGTCTGGAGCTCGGTGGCAGAACATTTATCTCACATGCATGATGCCCTAGGTTTAGTCCTCCAATACTGCTCTCTTACTCCTCAAAAGAAGACGGGCATGGTGGTGAATACCTGTAATTCCCATATTTGGAGGCAGAGACCAGAGAATCCAAAGTTTGAGGTCATCCTTAGCTACACAGTGTTGAAGGACGCCTGGTCTACATGCCCTCAAAACAAGCCAAAACAAAACAAAGGTGTATGTATAAAATGTTTAGCAATCTCGCCCTTTTAATCTCTACATGATTAACATAGGTCCGCTTAGTCTACAAAGTATAGCATGGAATACAGTCCTAGATAAGTAGCCTGCAGGGGAAAAAAAAGTGAAGCTGTAGTATTTGGAAAACTACTTTGGGCAGGCAAAGTCAGGTTTTATAGAGAAACCATTTTTAAGCTTCTGGTCATGGATGGAACAGGTGTTGAAGACATATCTGATGTAAACCAGAGTTTACCATAAAATGCAGCTGGAAAGGGAGGCAGCCATGTGCTAAAATGGTTAAGGACAACCACAAGGTACTGTATCCAGGGGGGAGATGGGAAATTTGGGTTAAGACAGTAACCACGCAGATGAAAAGGAAGATTTAGTGTATGTGAAAATGAACAGAGAGACGGGGAAATACAAATGGCTGAGGGATGATAGTCTAGAGACTTGGTATCATACTCACCCCCATTTCGGTTCTGGCTCTTGATTTTTCGATAGTCATTATATAAAGGCTCCAAATACTTATAGCAATCAATTGCAGTTCCCGTCAGTCTCATGTAAAGTGCTCCCAACATGCGGACATACCTAACAGAGATGATATTGAAACAACAGGCCATCCTAAGAGTTCCAGAGTTTTATAACTGGCTTTTCTCATGACAATAGTAGATAAAAGCATTTCTTTTCTTTTCTTTCTTCCTTCCTTTCTTTTTTCTTGTTATCAGGTAAGAAAGCCATAATACCAAAGGTACCATAGAACAGATGGTGGCTAAAATATGGAGACCTAATAAACTTTCTAACTTATGTATTACTGGCTCTGGGAGCTTGGTACATGTTGCTCAACTTTCAGATATATCATCTGTAAACTTCACAGAATTAGCCTAAGATTCCAAAAAGATAATGATAAATTAGACAACACAAGGCATTATATACATTTTATAACAATGCTATAACAAGCATACATAGCCACAAACAGGTTCTGGAAAAAGGTCAAAGTCAGAGGTTAAGATTCTGATTTCATACATTACTAACTTTGACAGCAGACATATATCTTGTTTTCTCAACCTCTAAAATGGAGAAGCTGCAACCAAATTTTCTGCCTTGGTGCCATATATAAATGCAAGGAAAACTATTAGAAGGATTTTTTTTTTTTTGTAATTTCTTCTTTTTACCTCATGTATCCAATTCCTTACTCAAATCTCCATCTGCAACCCAAGCTTCATCGTATGATTACAGCAGTATAACAGAGAATATGCATCTGACATGAGCTGTAGCTGAGGCCTAGCACTCAGGAGGCAGAGGACAGAGGCAGAACAGCCATAATTACAAGGCCAGCCAGCATTACATTGTGAGGCACTATCTCAATTAAAAAACAAAACCCACAAAAAAGTGTACTCTGAAGCCAGCTTTGCCTCCCCAATTCACAATGGGGATAAAACCTAGACCCCTGCATTTGTTCTACTACCAAGCTTTATCCAGCCCCAGACCTGTCACATACTCTTCTGACCCGAGGTAAATTACTGACAATCTCTCCAGAGTCTCAGTTTCTTCCCATGGAAAATAGGCATTATATTTTTAAATCGGTGGTGTGGAAAAAAAAAAAAAAAAGAATCACAATATATAAAGCCCTTAAAACACATCATGGTACATGATCAGCTATTATACCTGACTCTGAACTCCTAGAGAATGGATAATAAATATGGAGCAGTTTATTATGTTTACCATGCATTGATAAGCTTAAAAAATTAAAGATGGTCACAGTTAATAGATACCAAAGTCTGGATAACATACAGATCTAACCCACTAACTAAAATTCTATGTTGTATGATCCCCATATCATTCTGATGAGACAGTGGGTGTGTGTACATGTACATATATTTGTGTATATTTCTTTACTGTGTGAAATACTTATGGGGGAGGGAGAAGTCACCAGGACTAAAAATGTATAAGGTCTACATAACCTTTGCAACAGTCAAAATACAGGTACAGGGGCAAAAGCCTGTGAAGATGAGACATATAACACTCAGTCCTACTAACAAAGCCCAATTCTAAACCAGTAAAATTTTTGTACTATTCAACATTGTACTCACTTGAAATCTTCATTTTTTATGAACTCAACAATGATATCTTTCTCAGGTTGAATTTGAAGCATCTTCAAGGTTAAACACAGAAAAGGAGTTGGCTTTATGTTTCCACCATAGACACCACCCACAAACCTTAACTCCATGGCTTTGTCGACTACAAGTTCAGCTGAAATAACCAAACACAAATGGTGACATCTTAGACATAGTAAAGGTCTTAGCTATTCTTGGTTGGAAGGTTAAACAGTTAAAGGTTTAGAGTTAAGGCTCCTAAATAGTCAACAGAATTTAATATTGGGAGAACAGACGCTTGTTAACAATAGTAATAAAAATGACTGCCTGGAACTACCCCATTGAAGAAAGAAATAGCCCTTATCCCAGCCCCCATTAATTTTTTTTTTTGTAGTCCATCAAGGCAGGGTGTGGCTCATGAGTTTTAAATCTTTATCCAACAAATCTTCGAGAAAAAAAAGTCCTGTCATTACCATTAGATGCTGGGCGGTGGTGGCGCATGCCTTTAATCCCAGCACTCGGGAGCCAGAGGCAGGCAGAACTCTTGAGTCGAGGCTAGCCTGGAACGGCTCAAAGAATCTAAAGAAACTCTTCAGTATCAAGAAAGTCCCTGTCAGATTTGTCTGTGTCCTGTCTAGTACAAGTCTAGGCACAGAGCAATTTATGTGAATGGTTGACATACTCTTTTGCAATACCAACACCCCAGGTCTACCCTTCCTCATTTGAGTCAGAAGAAGCCAGCCGCAAGCAAAGACGCGGGTCGCACGCTGTCACTCACCCGTAAGTCCAAAGCACTCTTCTTTCCAGTACTTGGATTCATAGATTCGAGTCCGAATGATCTTCTCCACCAGATACTGAGGGTTGGTGCCATGGATGCTGTGGGCATCCTTGACCGTACGGTTCGCCATTTTAGAACGCTTTCAACTCTATTTCCGTCGGGCTCTTCAATACGTCACATCCAGGTTTAAAAAAGACCTCCAGGGGCCGGGGAAACCCTTCTAACCCCTGAAAGCGACCAGCTTGAAACCGGAAACTGCGACGCAGAACACTTCCCCGGGACTACGCAAGGCCAGCGGCAACGATGGCGGAAGTACGTCATGAGCCCTCCTTGGGTGTGGCGAGATGTCTGGGAACGCCAATCGGAATCAGGCTGTGGGCGGGGTTACGGGTAGTGGCGCGAAAAGTTTTCCCTCTGACTCCCATTCCTACTCAGGCGCGTGCTGTGTGCACGCGGTGCTGCTGGCTGTCCCGGGAGGAACCTAGCTCGGACGGGTGAGCGTTGTGTAAGTGCCTGGACTGGAAGCGGTGGGGAGCGCAAGGGGTCGGCCCTCCCTGGCAAGCTTCGGCGTGGTGAGTGCTGCTCCCGGCTCGCCGGGCGTTCTTCAGACGTAATGATTTCCTTCCGCACACATGCACCAAGAACCTGTTAAGTGGTGGGCACTGTTCGTTCTTTTGGAGCAAGAAGACCCTCCTTGTCTTCACCGAGTTCTGGAATACCTCCTGTTCAGCGGGAAACCGAGTGTTTGCCCTGTGGGAGCCACCTCAGAGAAGTGGGTGGTGCTCGCCCTTTGGTGTCTAAGGCTTTGGCTTTCCGTGTGCACTGCCTCTGAAAAACCATCGCAGACTTTTCCATGGATCGGCGGAGCTGCTGCTCTTCTCCGCTTTACCAACTAGTGGTTGCGCCCGGAGAGAGACTTTCTCTAAGTCACCTCTGGTGACTTTGGCGTCCCGGTCTCCTCAGCAGTCCTCTCCAAATGGGTTGCCCTTGGCGGGGGCTTTCATCTCCAGGCACAGAAGAGAACGTCTAATGGCCCGCTTTCTACTTTCCAGGGTCTGGCCCAGAACAGAATGTCCTTCTCTTGTAACAGTTGGAGAAAGTGGTTGCCGTAAGGCTTGAGATGAGAGATTCCTGCTCAGGATTAGTAGGAGTGAAACTGCAATGATGAAGCCGTTTTAGTTGTCCATAGAAGTCGAATAGTCGTTCATTCTTTTCAACTGTATTTTTTTTTTTTTTTTTTTTGAGAGACAGTATTTCACTTTGTAGTCCTGGCTGTCCTCGATCTCGCTGTGAACCAGGTTGTTCACGAACTCAAGAGACTGCCTCTGCCTCTTGCTGAGATTGAAGTCGTGTTCCACCATGCATCGCTTTTTCAGGATTACTATGTGTTTATCTGTTTATTTACAATTTCAGACATTTCTGTCTATGGTCACTTACATCCTAATAGATGAAAGGGTCAGGACGAGATAAAAGTCTCTAAAGACTTGCCCCTAAGGACCTACTCCTTTATCTAAGTGTATCTAATGTGTATAGTACTTGTCTGTACTGAGTGTGTACCTGGTGCCTACAGAGGTCAAGGGGGTGTCTGATCCCTTACAACTGCAGTTAAAAGTGGTTTTGAGGTGCTCTGTGAGTGCTGGGAACTGAACTCAGGTTCTCCACAAGCGCACCAGCTGCTCTTACCACTGAGCCATCTCCATCCCCCATTTCCTGGTTTTTAAAAGACTTCTGAGTTTCTGTTACCTTCCAAATAGCCCATCAAATCATGATCCTGTTAAGAGTTAATCCCTTGAAGAAGTCAGATACTCTCTGTTGCAGACAGTTTCCAAAATATCAGGTGACCTTTGGGGAAATTTCAGTTCTAAGCCACAGTAGTTATATTAATAGTTAGATTAATTTTGTTGATGTATACTACTAATGGGAACATTTTGGTTTATGTCCTTTCATGATTGTATATATTTGATATGCCCATGAATTACTGAGTTGAAGAGTAGGCATATGTCCAGGAATTTAAAAGAAACATTTTTCAATTTCCCAAAGTTAGTCTATAGGGTTTTTGTTTTTGTTATTTTGTTTTGTTTTTGAGACATGGTCTCAGTGTGTCACCCTGGCTGCCCTGGAACTCTATGTAGATCAGGCTGGCCTTGAACTCAGAAATTTGCCTACCTCTGCCGGGATTAAAGGGCTATCATGCCAACTGGCTATACCAATTTAAATGAATGCCGTTCATCTTAAAGTTAGATCATTTGAGGATTATATGTTTTGATGGAAAACATCAAATCATCCAATGATATTCTCATTTTATTTAAACAAGCACGTGCTGAGTACTGCAATTTATTTGAGTACTTGCTTTATGTTTCAGAGACATTTGCTTGACTTCATTGTGAAAAGCTGGGAGAAGTTACAAGATTATTTCTGACAATTGTGTGTCGCATCATCTGTAAAAAAAGAATATATGTTGAAAGTAAGTGTTAAGATTTTCCTTAAACATTTGTATAGATTCGACCACTTTCACTAATTTTTACCAAGAGGTTATTGAATAGTACTAATCCAATTTTATTTTTCATTTGAACAAATCTTTTATTTATGTTTGCTCATCCCCTCCCTTCAAATACTGTGGATTGAATCTAGAGCCATAAACATATATAGCTATGCAAGTGACCTATATCCCCAGCCCTTTTTACAGTTTAAGATAGCATCCTTGAACTCAGTCTATCTGACAGGCCTTGAACTTGGTGATCCTCTTGCTTCAGACTCTTGAATAGTTAGAATTATGTCTCTATGCCATCCAGCCTGGCTTCTTTGCTTGTGTCTACCTTGTATTCAATTAAAATTGATTCATTTTTGTAGCACAGACAGAGCAGTACAAATTAGTAACACAATAATAGGTTATAATTCATACTCCATAATCATTATACAATTATTCGTGCTTTGTTTTGTTTAGTCATTTTGTTTTTGAGTCAAGATCTTGCTATGTGTAGCCCTAGATAACCTGGAATGTGTCATATAGACCAGGTTGGTTCAACTGAAATCCATTTGCATCTGCCTCCCATATGCTGAAGTTCAAGGCCATCACTCATTTATCTCTCCTCCCTACCCCACCCCGTGAGGTTTTTGCAAAACTAATTTTTATTCAAAGTATAGATGATGGAGAAAGCAGACACCTTGCAACAAGAAGGGATCCAGAACCAGTCCTTCATGCATCTTATATAAGTAGTTTATTTACTATTGATCCAGTATGTTCATTTTACTATTAAATAGTTTCTTCAGTATTTTTTTCTTTTTCTTTAAAGCAGCTGGGCAGTATGGTGCATGCCTTTAATCCAAGCACTCAGGAGGCAGAGGCAGGAAGATCTCTAAGTTTGAAGCAAGCCTGGTCTACAGAGGGAGTTCCAGGATAGCCAAGACTACACAGAGAAACCCTGTCTCAAAAAGAAAGAATGGAAGGAAGGAAGGAAGAAAAGAAAAAGCAGAGAAATTTTAGGGATCAAGTGTTTCTGGATCGAATATAGGATGCAATGTCACAGAACTCAAGGAAACCAAATTGCTTAATTTGGATGTCTATATGCTTTTATAATTGTGCCCCCCCAATAAGATTTTGTTCTCATCATTAATTCAGAAAATTCTAACTGCCAGTTTTCTCATAGTTAGCCCTATGACAGCTGTAAGAGAAGCATGAAATCATAATTAAAGGTTTAGTACTAATTATTTAATTCTAAGGTTCTGTGTTAGCATTTTTATTAGGATTGATAGGTTTTAATGTCTAAATCTTTTGTGGAGAAGGTAGTATTTGGACTTCTTAGTTCTTTCCCCTTTTTTTGACACTAAAAATGTACTTTAGAGATTTATTTAATGTAACCTGCTTTGCCTTCATGTCTAATTGTACCTACTAACATCACCAGCTATAGCAGCTGGATGAGCACATGCAATCCAGCTGTAGTTACAGGCAGTTGTGAGCCACCATGTATGTGCTAGGAACTGGACTCCGTTCTTTGCAAGAGCAGCAAGTACTCTTAACTGCTGAGCCATCTCTCCAGCTCTTCACCTTGTACTTTAATGTCAGTTTCTTTTTACCTAGTCACAATATTCTGGACCTACTAGATGCAAAGGAAAATACCCAGCTAGAGCAGTATAGTCAGTTACTGATTTTGTATGGGTGTATTTCTATGCATATATACACGTGATGGCCAGAAGTCAACCTTGCCAAGTAGGTTAGCACTTTACCAACTGAGGTATATAGTTTTCTCCTGATTTTTTACAAAGTGGAATGGCACACTTGATAAAATCTATCACCACTTCCTCAAATGCTGCTCTTGTACATTTATCCCTCTATCCCTGGGAACCCCTTATTTCAGTCCATTTTATCAATGTCTCCTGATTATTCAATGTTCAATTATTCAGTTCATCTGAGAAATCTTTACAAAGCCCTTTCTCCCTGAGTTGCAAGACCTGGCCCTCTAACTTCCAGTAGTTCCTTTAGGCTCTTTGTACCATTAGTTGTTGATTATGTTTTACTCCATCTCAACTTGAAGACATTTCACTTAGGTATTTGTTCACATCTATTGTGCTTTGTTTGAAGTAAGTACTTTTTCTTCCTGGTTTTTTGAGACAGGGTTTCTCTGTGGCCTTGGCTGTCCTAGATCAATAACATTTATTTTGTGGAAAAAGTCAGTTTTGTTGGAAATTAAAGACAGGCAGTTTAGTATATTTTATGTAGATATTGCATACAATGTTTTAATTAATTTCACCCTGGGGAAATTTGAGGCCCAATATTTAAGAAAATAAATTATAAAAATGTATAAGTACTTACTATTAGCTAGGTGGCTACTGCACATACCTTTAATCCCAGCACTTGAAAGGTAGAAACAGGCAGATCTCTTTATGAGTTTGAGACCAGCCTGGCCTACATAGTGAGTTCCCAGGATAGTCAGGGCTGTGTAAAGAGACCCTGTTTTGAACCCAGCCCCGCCCCAAGGAGAGAGAGATAAAAAAGAAATGTTATCTGCTTAAAATGTGTGGGAGTGAGGCAGGGGTATTAAGAAAAAAAGGCTGAACTAATTCAGTGAAGGCAGGGACTGACTATATCTTACAACCCATCAGAGACATGCCATCCTATCTCACAAGGCAGAAGACCCAAAAAACTTTCTCATGGGTTGGCAGGCCATTGCCGGATCGAAAACAGTACCACCAAGTCTACAAGTAAGTGGTGAAGCTCTTTGGTTGGATTGCAAAATGTACCTAGCTTCTCAAGCTGAACTGTTAAGCTTGTATTTAAACTGTCTACTCAATGTAGATTGAGATTTGAGGGACAATAGAAAGGAATTTTTAAGAAGTTTTTGTTTGGTGCAAAAAGATCTGTTGTGGCTAATCAGGAAAATTTGAGGTGAAGCATAATGTCATCTACTTACAATGCTTTTTTTTTTTTTTTTTTTTTTGAAAATTAAAAGATAAGATGTTGGTACTGTATGCTTCCCACCTTGTTTGTGTGTGTGTGTAGTGTGTGTATGCATACAGGTATGGGGGCAGATGTGTATGCTCATTGGTTGGATGCCTGAAATTGATGTTGAATGCTGCCTTGATTGCCTTCTGCTTTATTTATTGCAGAATTTTTATTCTTTGAGAATTTCTTACGTACTGTGTATTTTGAACATTAATCATCCTCTCCACTCCTCCCATCACCACTCTGTCTCATTCCTTTCTACCCAACTTTGAGATTTCTTCTTTTTTCTTTACCAAATGAGTTAGGTTAGTGTTGTTCAGCTAGTCTTGGGAATGGGCCTGCCCCACAGGGATGACATTATTGTTATTAAAGTCTTGTGCATTCTGTCACAATTGCTGTTGAATTCATAACTGCACCTAACCTGTTGTATCTGAAAACCTTTTTCCTTGATGTTTTATCAACCACCTTTAGGTCTTAGAATCTTTCTGTCTCCTCTTCCATGAAGGTCCCTGAAGCTCATAGATACCCTCTATTTTATTATTGGTGTAGGTTCTTTGCTAAACCCAGAACTCACCAATTCCAGCTAATCTAGTGGTAAACTTGCCCTGGGGATTCCTTGTTCTGCTTCCCATATGCTATATTCCCGGGTTAAAACACTTAACTGACTTTTTACATGAGTGCTGGGAAACTGAACTCTAATTCTTGTGCTTGCTCATTCAACAAGTATTTCATCTACTGAGCTTCTCCCCATTCTTTAGCAGTTTTCATATTATTACTGGATAGCTTATTGTCCACTTTCAGTAACTGAGCCAGTTAAGATTGTAGGAAGGCATCTAAGTTAATTAATCATTTATGCTAAAACAACTCATTGACCTATTTTGTGTACTTTCATGGGGTACGTTGTTTTCCCAGTAAGATAATTGGAGAGCTTAAAGAAACCGTTTAGAGGAATTTCTAGTTCAAGAGTTTTTAATTTTTTTTTTTAAATTTTATTTTATGTGCATTGGTGTTTTACTTTCATGTGTGTCTATTTGAGTGTGTTGGATCCCCTGCTGGTGTTACAGACAGTTGTGAGCTAGGTGTTGAGAACTGAACCAGAGTTCTCTGGAAGAACCATCTCCCCAGCCCTTATGAATGTTTTTGAGCTTACAAAATAGCTTAGTGGTTATGGCACTGGCTGATCTTTCAGAGGACTTGTTTGATTTTCTCACATGGTGGCTCACAACTGTCCAGGGCCCTCTTCCGGCCTCCATGGGCACTGCACAGGCAAGCACTCATACACATGAAATAAAAATTATATCTCAAAAGAGGTAGCTGGATGGGCATGTCCTTTAAAAGAATGTGTTTCTAAATCTTTTCTAGAGCCAGGCGAATCTCTGAGTTCGAGGCTAGTCTACAGAGCTAGTTCCAGGACAGCCAGGGCTACACAAACTCTACCTCAAATAAACAAACAAACAAACTCTACCTCAAATAAATAAACAAATAAAACAAAATAAAAACATTTTCCCACTTTGATCATGTTTCTTTGTTTCTTTCTAGAGAAATGTGTATGAAAGTCAATGATTGTTCCACTGAGATTCACATCAAGGTTGGACAGTTTGTATTGATTAAAGGAGATGTTAATGCAAAGCCCTATGTTGCTAAACTGATTGAATTATTTGAAGATGGTGAGTTTGGGCCTGAAATGGGAGCCTTATTTTACTGGGCACAATTGCAAAGTGTATGTAGCAGGGGAGGGTAGTGAGTTCTCTATTCATAGGCACTTGCAGAGCACCCTGAGGTGGGTCATGTAAGTATAGCTTTCCTTTTTTCTCCATCTAGACTTCTACACACAGCAGCATAGTGTGGGGTAAAATGGAATTAGAGGACTCTAGAATTTAGCCTTTCCACTATTTTTAGAGCTAAGAATGTCAAGTGCAGGATGTATGGATGGAAGTTTAGGAAGACTGGAAAGAAAATTGGTGATTTGCACTGCTGGGTGCTGCTTTTTTTTTTTTTTAAACTCTTTTGCTCTTTTCTCTTTGCGGGGCCCACCACCCAGCTCCCAAATAAATACAAACACAGAGATTTGTTCTTATTTATGGAAGGCCCAGCCTTAGCTTGGCCTGTTTCTAGCCAGCTTTTTAAAAATTATCTACCTTTTGCCTCTGGGTATCTCATCTACCTTTTGCCTCTGGACTTTTATTTTTCTCTATTCAATATACCTTTCTTTACTTCTTAGTCTGTGGCTTGTTGTGTAGCTGTAACTGGGTGACTGGCCCCTGACACATCTTTTCTTTCTCTTTTTGAGACAGAGTTTCTCTGTGGCTTTGGAGGCTGTCCTTGAACTTGCTCTTTTAGACCAGGCTGCTCTCAAACTCACAGAGCTCCACCTGCCTCTGCCTCCCGAGTGCTGGGATTAAAAACATGTGCCACCACCGCCTGGCCTCTCCTTATCTTGTTCCCTATCTTCTCTTCCTAGGTTTCTCCTCCTATTGCCTGCCAGAACCACCTGCCCTTTCTCTTGCTTGGTATTGGCCATTCAGCCCTTTATTAAACCAATCAGGTGTTTTTGACAGGCAAAGTAACACAGCTTTACAGAGTTAAACAAATGCAGCATAAAAGAAGGCAACACATCTTTGCATTATTAACCAAATACTCTGTAGCTTAAACAGTAACACATCTTAAAATAATATCCCACAATAGCTGGGTGCACATGTTTTTAGTATGGACATGAGGAAGTTATGAAATTCTGCAAGTATGATTTCTTTACAAAGTCTTTTTTTATACCCCAAACTGGCCTTGAACTCTATTCATGGACTTAAACTCAGGATGCTCCGGCCCTTGTCTCCCAAGTGCTGAGGCTACAAGTATGAATCACCATATCTAACTGGTAGCCTTCTCAATCATTAATTTGTACAGTTTTTCCATTGATAAATTAAGTGCCTATGATTATAATACCTTGTTTTCCATCCCTTTGGGAATTCTTTTTTATACTGATAAACACTATTAAAAGTAGATCACTGGGCTTGAAAGATGGTTCAGCACTTAAAAGCACTCACTGTTTCAGAGGACCCAGGGTTAGTTCATAGATCCCACTGTCTGTAACTGATGCCCCTTGGCAATATCTGGCCACCATGGACACTGTACACAAATGGTACATACCCATCTATGAAGGCAGTATACTAATACACATAAAATAGAAATAAAATCTTTTTCAAAAAGTGGATTACCTTAGAGAGCATGTTTGTGAAGTGGAGTAGTTTTGCTGCTGATTGGTTCTTTAATCATTGTCAAATTTATAAGGTTTCTTGGCTTATAAAGGCAATAGGTATAGTACCTGTTTTATAGACTTACGGGAAGTAAATATTTGTATTGTGTAGGGTTTGGCACATAGGCAGTATTCAGTGATGGACTTTATTATTAACCTTCCTATTTTAATCTTCCCTTTCCACCTGATCCTCCTAGGATCTAAATTTCCTTCCGTGAAATGTGCTCGAGTACAATGGTTTGTCCGATTCTCTGAGATCCCTATCCCTAAAAGGCATTTATTAGGCCGGAAGCCTGCTGCAGAGGAGATATTCTGGTATGACTCTTCTGACTGTGGTAACAACATTTATGTGGAGACCATCATTGGTCCTGTTCAGGTAGGTGGTTCCTTAAATCCTGGGTTCTAAAGTAGCTACACTGCATGACCTCAGAAATATTATTGGTTCTAATTTGAATTTCTTCTAACCTTCTCTGGCTGCTTGCCCTGTCCCACAGAAACTGAGAACATGGCACACGTGTTCTTTGCCTTCTAGAGAAAGTGACATTTGTATTATGACCTGGAGGAAGAACAGGAATTAGAAAATGTATCTTAGTGAAAAATCATATGAGCTATGATTAAGGCTGAGTGTGCTTTGTAACATGAAGACTTCACCTTGAGTAACTCAAAAAGTGCCGATTACTAAAGGCAACCTTGTGTTTTTATATTCAGGAGCTGAGCTGTTGAAGTAGATGTTTTGAAAAGCGTGTGTGTATCTTATTTTTAGAGCTGCTTTCATTTCTATCTCCTGTGTGAAGTCTGGCTTTGGGTAATTAGTGAATTGGTCTAACATTTGGCCAGAGAGACTGGTCTGACCTGGCTATGGCAATTTATTTATGGTTAGTATTATTTATAGTAACAACCTAATTTCAGGGCAACAAGCCAGTAAGCACAGCATTCTTCCATGGACTCTGCTTCAGTTCCTGTCTCCAGTTACCTCAGTGATGGACTGTGAGCCGTAAAGTGGAATAAACCCTTTCCTCCTTGAGTTAGTTTTGGTCAGTGTTTTATCATAGCAACAGAAAGTAACTAGAGTAGAAGGGCAGGAGAGAAGAGGTATTTAGGAAAATCACACTGTTGGGAGTAAGCAGGACTGTTCTAAAGCCAAGCTCTGTTAGTGATGCTTGGCCATGTAGAGAACACAGGGTTCTGGAAGTACAGTGGGGCCTGATCTTAGGAGACACTGAAAAGCAGTTTAAGTCATCTTGCAGCTGTGTGGAGCTACTGCTGTTTAGTATCTATTCACCTGGAAGTTTGGACCAGGTGAATAGATGGTGGGGCCGGGGGAGCAAGGAAGGGGATGATGTGTGATTGACTGGGGTGATAGCAGGAATGAAGAGGAGAAGCCAAGGCAGAGGATGGAGTTCATTTAGTAGAGTGCCTTAGGGCATGCAGGAAGCCCTGGGTTCAATCACCAGCACTGCATAATCCAGCTGTGGAGGCACACACCTGTAATTCCAATACTCAGGAAGATCAGAAGTTGCAGGAGACCCTATCGAAAAAATGTAGAGTCAATAAGAGGTGGGGAAAACAGGAATAATTTGCTGAGTGTGTTGGTACATATCTTTAATCCCAGCACATGGGAGTCACTGATGGATCTCTGAGTTTGAGGTCAGTCTGATCTATGTAGGATAGTGAGGACTACGTAGAGACACTGTTTCAAAAAACCAGAACAAATTACATTTTGTTGACATTCTCCTCAAACTGTTTATGACTTTGTAAATGCTTAGTTTCTCAATCAATTAATTTGCTATGCAGTGTCTTTCTCTTTGGATATAAAAGGTGGCATTTCATAAAAAGATGTGAGTTTAAATAGGTTTCATTGCAGCCATGAGTTTTTCTTGGCTGTATAGTCTTCATCTTTTGTTGTTTATCTCATTTCAAAAATTCAGGTAGTGGCTTTAGCCCCAGATGAAGCGATACCTATGAATCAGAAAAGTGAGGAGACACTGTTTGTGAAGCTATCCTGGAATACAAAGAAATTTGAACCACTGTCACCAGAAATACTTGCAGCATTGAAGAAACTAGAAGATAGCCCTAAGTGCCAGAAACCTTTAAAAGCCAAGATTAAGAATGTAAAAAGCCCTTCTTGGGATGCAACAGAACAAATGGACAAAAGGATTGAATCAAATCACTCTACCTCCAAATATTGCCAGATACCTGCCCACCCTGTCTCCCCCAATGCAAGTAAGCTGCTGGAACATGGTGGTAAGTGTACTTGGGGAAGAGTTCTACTTCAGTGTGCTATGCTTCTTTGTAGCACACCAGCTCTTCCTCCCCCAACCTCTGCTGCAGCAATGTGTTGCTCTCTCTATGGTTGGCTTTTTTCTTGGGATGTCATTTCATTCGAATCTCAGAGTCTGGCCTTTTTGTTTGACTGTCTCATCTTAGTTTCTCCATTTGAGAGTCATCCCTGTTATCCTATTGGTGATTTGTTCCTTTTTATGCAATGCTCTATTGTATCAATAACCACAGCTTATTTATTCACAATAGAAGACATCTGGATGTTTTTAGTTTTTGATGATTGTGAATAAAGTCACCCTAATGATCAACACAGACACTGGATGGCTCTTAAGCCCTGTCTGTACCTGTCTCACACCATAAGTATACTGAAGTTGGCTCATCTATGCCTTAAGACTGTATGGCATTCCTGCTTTCCATCTCCTCAGATCAGGGTGTCCTTGGATAAGTACCAAGGTTGAGTCTCATTTATCTTTGGTTTCTTGATAGGCTCTAATATATACCTTGTCTTTTTAATAATTCAGCTATATCTATAAAGGGCTATGATCCCTGGTTCTCATAGTCCTAGCAAGAGTGGAACAGATTTACATATAATGATTGTCTTCAGGAATCCCTCCTCTATCTTGGCAGATATATTCTGGGTTTACCAAAAAAACAGAAAAAAGCTGGGTCTAGTGTTACTCAGTAATATACTAAATGTGTGAGTGCTGCTGCATGGGGGTGGTTACCATGCAGTGTTGCCTCAGGGAAGTTTGATTACTGAATATTTTTTTTCTATAAAAGCTGACCTAGAAGTCAAATTCTAATCCCTGCAGCTCAGTGGTAGAACACATGCTTAGCAAGATTCTGGGTTCAATCCCCAGGGCTGAAATAGGAAAACAAATAAAAATTATGTGTGATTCTAAATAGGAAAATCATACATGAAGTTTAGGAAAGAAGAGGCCACTTAGCCTAGAAGAGGACTAATTCAAAGTATGAATAACCTCACTTGTGTAACTTCAGTTGCACCATGAGATTGGGGTGTGTATTTCTAAGTATAATAACATCCCATATTGTCTCTTTAGGCTTAGGCATTCCCAGGAAGCCTAACATGAGGCTATCACAGAAGATCTTGTGTGACTCCTTGGATTCTCAAAAAAATTCTAAACGAAAAACAGCCTTCTCTGAGACAGCCTCACCTCCTAAAAGATCTCAGCCTGGTGAAATCAAGACATCATCAACTTTGAAAACTTTGGAAGAAAATGGACAGGCACATTCCTTTTGTGCCAAAGGTAGCATGAGAGCCAAAGACCCATCTTTCATAACCACAAAGATTAGTATGGAGAGGGCATTCAGCCCTATCAGGCGTAGATTGAGGTCTTCAGTGGTGCCCAATGCGATTCTGACACCAGAGTTCACTGAGAGGTAAGCAGGAGCATCACCCCCTCTCACAGAGCAACTTGAGATATTTCTTGTGATCAGAAATGAGTGTCACAGAGGGAAGCTTCCAGTCTGTGGTTGAGTGTCTCTGATGATCTTTTCCAAATAAAGGTTACTGAGCCAGGGTTTAGTCAAATATGCTTCAAGTATAAGACCCAGGAATCTGTATTTTGAAACGCTCTTTGAAGTTGGGTGTCGTGGCTTATACCTATAATCAGGAGGCTGAGACAGGATTGGGTGTGTGAGTTCAAGGTTAGGCCGAGCTACATGGTGACACTATCACTAGCTCCAAAAAGAAAGAAATGCTTTTCTCTTCAGATGTCATTTGAGAATGTTGATTTATTTCTGAAAGTATACTGCTTCACACACAGTCCTGGAGTTTATTTGTTGGCTATGGCTCTTTGTCACAATTTAATGATTTTTTTTTAATTGGGTGGGGCTTTTTGTTTGTGTTTTGTTTTTTGAACCTGGGATCTACTCTTAAATATTGAAAAGAAGACAATGAATCTAGAACAAGCTTTGTAGTTTGGCACTTGATAATATGTGTAGATAATAAATTTTACAATAAAAGCGACAGACTAGACATAACATGCTTTTTAAAATTTCTTAAATAGAAATTTCCAGCACCTGGCTCATAATATGCTGTTCAATAAATACTGAGTATATTTTATACTGAATATATTCTTGCTAACTTTGAGCTTTTGTAAAAGATGACAGAAATAAAAGGGGGACAAAATCTGTTGGGAATTCATCCATTTTTGTTCACAATAGCAGAGTGATGTCTGATTTAAACGATGTGTTAAGAAAACTTTTGAACCAAGTTTGATTAACTTTTTCCAAGGTTGCTATGAAAATAGGAGCCAGTGAGACTTGACTATCTCCAGTACCTACTGTGGATCTTTGTTGTCTCAAGGCCTTTCTCTAATCCAGATGTGATGCCTTGCAGGGAGGCAAGAAAACATGAAGCTCACGAAGAACCGACCTATAGTTCCAATCGTGCTCATAGAAGGAGTTCTCTCTTGACTTTGAAACGGATTAGGCAACAGCTTTGGTAAGACTGCCCATTGATAAGCAGAACAAACAAAACAGTCTTGGCCCCATCTGTGATAGCATTTGTCCCTCAATGCCCTTCTATTTGAATGGCCAGTGCACTGATACTCTTTCACCTAGCATTTTGTACAAGTGCTATAGTTTGAAAGGGACAAGAAATACTGGCCAGTGCTTGTGGTTCCTTGGCTGTATCACCCTTGTTTCCAGCAAATCTGGGAATGTGGGATACCTAAAAGCATTAACTTTGTTTTTGATAAACCTTAGTTTGAATTTGGGCTTCTGAAACTGAAATTTGGGAAAATAATGTTTCCCTTCCTTATTCCCTCATGATTAAAATTAGGGAAGATATACATGGCTTAAAGTTGTAGAGGGATTTAGTGAACATGTAATGCCTTTAGCATAGCATTTCAAGCAAGTATCCAAGAAGTGAAACAAATCCCATATTGCCTGATGGTGGAAGAGACTGTAATGCCTCTAATGCACACTTTTATACAGTTCTTATGAAGGCTTGAACACCAAATAATAGAAAATAATTAGTCTCCACCACTCAGGCTTCTAGATGATGATAAAAGTAACCAAGAAGAAGAAGAGTTTATATCCTCAGCAGAGGTGTCAGACTCCACTAGTGAGGAGGAAGATGATTCTATTCCTTCCCTTCCAAAGAGAAATCCCCAGCGGCAGTCCAGAATCCGGAGAATGGCCTCAAATCCATCATTGCAGACCCCCTCCAAGACACCAAAGAAAACTGTAAGGTTCTTTTGGGTTTGTTTTCCAGTGACATGTCTCTCTTGTATGGTAAAGAATGCTAATTCCAGATCAAGCAGTAACAGCTACATTCTTAGCAAAGGGTTATGGTAGTTAAAGTAATCCATTTGTTTCCTAGAGGAGTAGGCCTACATGAACTTGACTGAAAACGAATGTAGTTGAAGATGACTTTTTTCCCTTGTGTTATTATTGTTTTGCTTTTGAGACTGGGTGTGTTACTCTATAGCCCAGGCTGGTCCCAGACTCCAAGCATGTGCTACCACACATGCCTTGCTCAAGGGTTCAAGTTCTTTTAAGAACCAGAATCGGATGGTCAAGAGCAGTGTTTGCATTTCCCTTGGCACTCAGGGGGAAATTGAATTCCGGGCTACACTAGGTACAGCTGAGAGATCAGGAGTACCGCTTAAGTGTGGAAAATGGAAGGGAGTTCCTGTGGAACTGTAACAGCATTAGAGATATTGGGTCTTCTGACTCAGAAATGGGTTTGAGAAACTAGAGTTAAACATTGCAGAACGCTATAGCATACAGTTAGGGAATGCTTGCTTAGAAACCATTCGCCATTTTTCCAGACCAGGATGGAGCTGAGGCTGAGCCTCTAAGGAAGGAAGTCTAGTAGATCCCATTTGACTAACGGCCATATTTACTTGGATTTTCTCAAATACAGGTGCAGAAAGCTCACTGTGCTTATTGTTCACATCTAGAAAGGAGAGATTTGTGGCCTCTGAGCATACTTAGAAAGTATACAAGACTTGTAGTTACCTTCCTGCAGATCCTAAAAGACCTTTTAAATAGTCAGAGTCTGCATATTGTTGGCTCTCGCCTCCTACAAGGAAGAGAAGTGAGAGAAAGCATTGGTCTGCCCCATAGAGTAACCATCACGAATGAGCAAACCTGTGGGGCTGGAGTGATGGCTCAGCAATTAGGAACACTTGTTCTTCCAGAGGACCTGAGTTCGATTCCTACCACTTACATGGCTGGCAAACTCTTGACTGCCTAAAATTCCATTGTTGACAAATCCAATGTCCTCTTCTAACCTCTTTAGGCATCAGGCATGGACATTGTGTGCAGACATACGTGCAGGTTTTAAAAAAGAAAACACTCGTGCACATGAAATAGCTCTTTTTTGTTTGTTTGTTTTGGTTTTTGTTTGTGTTTGTTTTTTAAAGGAATAGGCCTGTGAGTGGGGTTTATAATAAAAGAAAAAATCTGGTGAGTTGGTTTTTTTGATGTTGGATTTGTTGTTTTTCCAAGTGCTGGGTTATGGGTTGAGGAATTCCTGAGTCAAAAAAGTCTGACCGTATCTTCAAATAAACAAAGAAGATCTCAGGAATCAGAAACAACCTATGGCTCTTCTTTTTGAGCAGAGTAGCTTGAGTTTCCTAATTTTGTTAGCTTTGCAATATTTAGTGAAATACCAGAGATTTAGCTCAGTGGCAGAGCACTTGCATAATATGTAGGAAGTCCTGGGGGTTTTGTGTATTCGTTTTGGCCTGTATCTCCATCCCTGGTACTGGGATTGGCAAACACCACCATGCCTGGCTGAATAATCTTTTTTTTTTTTTTTTAATTCCCCTACTATACTCAAAATTCTGACCTCGTATAAATATTAGATAAAAAGAGATTCTGATTGGACTATGAACAAAATGTTTGATGTGAGGGGGTGGGGATGAGGAGTGAATCATTTTTAATTTCATACATGTAGGAGCTAAGACTAACTTGTCCTTTTGCCAGATCAATTTTATGTGTCTGGATGGGTTTTTTTTTTTTTTTTTTTTCTTGCTTTGCTTTGTTTTATTATAATGTATATTTTATTTGATTACAGCCTCATGCCACTCCTCAGATTCGAGATAGAAAACTTGCTGTCCAGGAGCCAACTAATGTGCTTGAAGAGGCCCGGCTGAGGTAATGTTGCTCAGGGGTCCTGCTTGGGAGTAATGGACTTCTTTTTTCACATAAATTGGAGATTGGTTGAGCTACTGCTATGTAGTCACTTATACAGAGTGGTGGAAGACAGTAAAACAAATCCCTTAAAGAACCTTAAAGAACAAATGACTGGGCTAATGCAGATGGAAATGCCTCCCAGGCTACTGCTGTTGTCTTAGTGTTCTGAGGATGGTGCCTCTTAGCTACAGGGCTCTAAAGTAGGAATTCTTTTAAAATTCATGATCAGATCAAGATTTTTCAGTCTACCCAAGTGTTCTGTTGGAGAAAAGGGAGGTTGGGTGAAGCACCATGGGAAAAGATGAGAAGGAATTTCCTTTTATTCATATCATATAGTTCCTGTATAGATAAATATTAATCTCTTTCCCATTCTGTTGGGTAGATAGTAAAAGACTTTTAAAGCCTTTCTTTTCTTCCCTCCACCACCAACTGCAGGCTGCATGTTTCTGCTGTGCCTGACTCTCTTCCCTGTCGAGAGCAGGAATTCCAAGACATCTATAGCTTTGTTGAAAGCAAACTTCTTGATGGGACTGGAGGGTGAGTAATGCTGAGTAGACAGGTAGTTTGAAGAAGAGCTGCTCACACACGGTCAACAGGGTAAGCAGAGCCACTGCTAAGCGTAGGAGGGTGGAATTCTGCCTGGGGCAGACCACTGAGACCACTGGGGCTGCTCAGTTGATCAAAGGCTCTGGGTTTGATCCGCTGCACTACATAAACTGGACATTGTGTCTTGACACATAACTGTCACAAGAGATATTTCTATTTGAGCTTGGTTCTCATAGTTAACAGTAATATGGGCTACCTTATGCTTTGTTTGTTTGTTGGAATTAGAGAATGCTGTTCTATCACCATTATGGGTACCATGGGGGGGGGTGGAGGCAGGAGGATCAAGAGTTCAAGGTCATTGGATACATAGTGAGCTTGAGGCTAGCTTGAGCTATGTAGGGTTTTGTCTCTATTTAAAAAGGGGGTGACCTTTGGTTAGTCAGTTTTCACGTATATAGCTTTGACTGTAGAGCGTGTGTCTAAACAGGTAGACAACTCTGACCAGTTTCCTAGGGTAGCCGCCACTGTTCCTACTTCCATATCTCAGAGGTCTTGCTCTTTCTTAGAATGTTGTGGATGGCACAGACCCAGGCTGTGAGTATTGTTTTCTCGCTCTAGGTGTATGTACATTTCTGGGGTTCCTGGGACAGGGAAGACAGCCACTGTACACGAGGTCATACGCTGTCTGCAGCAGGCAGCCCAAACAAATGATGTTCCTCCCTTTGAATATGTTGAGGTCAATGGCATGAAGCTGACAGAGCCCCATCAAGTCTATGTGCAGATTTTACAGGTAGGCAAAGTTGTTTGGGGGTTGGGGGGTTGGAAATCGTTCTTTAGAAGCACATGGAAAAGGGAAGGCTTAGTTAATTTTATTTGCATTTTACACATTTGTGCTGGGGTGGCAAAGGTGCAATGGGCAGAATTTTTCGACTGAAAAACCATGGCCTAGGGGCTTTATGTTGACTGATTATATGGCAGCAACCTCTAGCTCACAAGTGACGTGGGAATGTCCTGGAACAGGGTATAGACGTTCTTTCACTAGCTGTTACCTCGGAACGTGTAATATATCCCTCTTGGGGAAGGGACTAGAGTAAGAGGCAGAGTCAGGAAATGGAGCTTCTTCCTTTTACCGACGTACTTTAAGATCAGTGGACTGGAATCATCACCATTTACTACAGCGATTCCTTTTCCCACATGCAGAAGCTGACAGGCCAGAAGGCAACAGCTAATCATGCAGCAGAACTGCTGGGAAAGCGGTTCTGCAGCCGAGGGTCCCCACAGGAAGAAACCACTGTGCTGCTTGTAGATGAGGTAAAGTACCCCTGGGAGGACAAAAGAAATGGCCACATGGCCTTGTTGTCCCTGGAGCAGATGGTGGGGAGGCCATTCACCCAAGCCTGTCCATTGATGTTCCTTGCTGTTTTTGTTTGAAGTTGTGATATAGGCAGCACGTGTACTAACTGGGTAGAGCAGGCTATCACTTAGGTGCACTGGCTCAGTCTCTGAGTGCTTCTTTGGTAGCTCGACCTTCTTTGGACTTACAAACAAGATGTCATGTACAACCTCTTTGATTGGCCTACTCACAAAGGAGCCCGGTTGGTAGTTCTGGCCATTGCCAACACTATGGACCTGCCAGAGAGGATCATGATGAACCGTGTATCTAGTCGACTGGTAAGTCCAGGGTGTTCTGTAAAAATGATTTCTGCCATAATTATAATTTTTATGTTGTAATAAAAAAACATTGTCATTTTCTGCAAGTACTATACCCCATACTTTGGCATTCTGGTCCCTGTGTAGTTTTAAATTACACAAAGCCCTAGAAGTTTAATTACTTTTTAAAATATCTAAGCATGTATCACCTGCCACCTCTTAGGTACTTGGATAAAGCAGAGAATGAGGCAGACTATGTTATGCCTTCATGGCCTGTGTAGTTTGGCAAGAAACAACAACCATGAAGAACATGGTAAGGGAAGGCACAAACTGTGCAGGTCCTTAAAGCACCTCTATCTCCTCAAATGATTCTAAAAGAAGAAAAGATTCTGAGATAAATAGTTTGAGATAGTTCGAGAACTACTGTCCTCCAGGATACCCTAGTCATTGCTAGTACTGGCAGCAACTGAAAGGAGAAATAGATTATTATGTGGGGCTTGAGAATTAGGCTTGGGGACCAGAGAGTGATGGTTTTTCCTCCCCAAGCTAGACAGTGAAACTTGTTTCTCTCATCTTGACTCTTCAGGGTCTCACTAGGATGTCCTTCCAGCCCTATTCTCACAACCAACTGAAAGAGATCCTGGTGTCCCGACTCAAGCATTTAAAGGCCTTTGAAGATGATGCCATCCAGTTGGTAGCCAGAAAGGTAAATCACCATCAAGAAGCTCCTTGCCACACCTCTGAGCTAGTCAACAACTCCTTTCTGAGCACCTGTTGTGTGTATCCTGTTGAATGAAGAGATGTTTAGGAATAAATACCAATGGGTTGGGGGTGGCAGCACACGCCTCCAGTCCCATGTCTGGCAATTACAGGACTTGGAGGACAGAGGGAAAGGAATCCCTGAGTTTGAGACTGGTCTGGTCTTCATAGGCAGTTCTGGGTCAGCCAGGGCTACATAGTAAACTACTGTCTCGATGGATGGGATGGATGGATGGGATGGGATGGATGGATGGATGGATGGATGGATGGATGGATGGATGGATGGATGGATGGATAAAAACCAATGAAGAAACAATATTCTAAACGACTCCTTTTATTTTATTATGTGAATCTTTAGGCCACAGAGATTATGGGCTTTTTTTTTTTTTAAACTATCCATACATGATTCAAGCCACAAACTGTTTTGTGTAATTGAAGGGATCATTTAGATCATGTCAGCCACCTAGGAAGGACCAAAACACAGTAAGGTCAACCCTTATAAACTGTTCAGTTAGACCTGTTTATATGAAATCATCCATTCTACGGATAAGACTGTATACAGATTCTCCTCACTACAGAAGAGCCCTAAGGCTCCGGGTGGAACTGCTTTGAGTATTTTCTTGTTCTAAGTGTTTCTTTTAGTTTTCGTTTTGTTTTTCCATCATCTATAGGCCTCAAGCCTAGCTCTTAAATTCACACTGTTCGCCACTAGAGTGCTGTTTCACAGTATGAGGAGGAGGATGATAGGAAGTGGGAAATGATGAGGAAATATTTGAATATAGGAAGCTAGTGAAAGGGAAGACCAGGATACTCTGTCTCTGTTATTAGAAGAGTTCTTTGGTCTACTGAAAAACAGTTGTGTATAATCCCACTGTACAGAGATGACTGCTGTGTTTGCCTTTTGAGATAGGGTCTCACTGTGTTCCTCTGGCTGGCTTACTTAGTATGCTATACAGGTTAGGCTTGTTTCAAACTCAAGAGATCTGCCCACCTGCTAGGATTAAAAGTATGCACTACCATGCTAGGCTACGTTGACTACTTTTAATATCTTAAGTGTATTATATACATATATACTTACATAGTTTTCATTGTTTATTTGTTGGTTTTTAAAGATAGGGTTACTCTGTAGCTTTGGAGCCTGACCTGGAACTTGTTCTGTAGATCAAGGTCGCCTAAAACTTACAGAGATCTGCTTGCCTCTGCCTCCTGAGTGCTGGGATTAAAGGGGTGTACTGCCACCACCTGGCCAATTTTCTTGGTTTATGGTCCACAATTTTGGAGGAATGGATCATTTTAGAGGTAATTTGGTGCAGTCCAGTAACAGGTGAATATCCGGTTGATGATGCGTACTAGGAATATAAGAGCTGAGAAAGAGGTCTTTGTAGACTACACTGATTCTCAGAATTAAAATGTAAGTGATATTATTAGGTGTGGCAGTATATCCTTGTAAGCACTTGGGAAGGTATGGCAGGATGATTGCAAAGTCAAGGCCAGACTGAGCTACATTGGGATAGTCTGTCAAAACTAACAAGCAAATAACTAAACTTTCAAGTGTTTTTCTAAGCCAGCATGGGAGAGAGTGGAGGGTCCTTGAGAGTTTGACCTGGAAACTGTTGTAAGGACATGAAAAGGAGTGACAGCATAGCTGTTGGCATTGTGCAGTAGCCTGATTCACCTGTCTCAATATAGGGTTCCCTCAACTTTGAGTTTCTTCCTTTCCTCTCCATCCTGATTTCAATTATTTTAGGCACTGATGGGCTGTTCATCCAAATTTATTACATGCTCTGGGAGGTCTCACCTCCAAATATGTTCTCTCTGGCCTTACGTAGCTACTCCTGGGGCATACAGAATGAGAACCCCTGTGAGTTTTGGGTATTTTTGTTTGTATGGTTTTTGTTTTGTTTTTGGCGTGGGGGTTGTCTGTTTTTGAGATGGTCTTTCTGTGTATCTGTAGCCATGGCTGTACTGGAACTCATTTGTAGACCAGGCTGGCCTTCTGCACCATCATTCCTGGCTACCACAGAGGTCAGAAAAGAGCTTTGGAATCGCTGGAACCTGGAGTTAAGGCTGTTTGTGTTCCACCATGTGTTCACCAACAAGTAACTCTTAACAATAAGCATCTTTTCTAGCCCCTTCTTAAACACAAACAACAAGAAGCCCCACTTATTTCCTAAATACTTAAAGCTGGGGATTTCTGCCCTTCCCACTGGAGTTATCTATAAAATCATGGGGCAGTGGTTTGGAATGGCGACATAGTATTCCATATATGATATGATTTATTACAGGCTTTCACAATGTTCCTTGGCTGTCGGCTTTGGCAAAAGACCATTCTCAGCACCTCATTATCCTTTTAGCTGTGCATAGACCCAATGGTTATTAACCCTAGGTTGAGATGATAGTAGATATTGTAAATAAAATGTTCCCTCTTGTAGGTAGCTGCCCTCTCCGGAGATGCCCGGCGCTGCCTGGACATCTGTAGGCGTGCCACCGAGATCTGTGAGCTTTCCCATAATCGTGATGACTCTCTGGGCCTGGTGACTGTGGCCCATTTAATGGAAGCTATAGATGAAATGTTCTCCTCATCCTATATCTCTGCTATCAAGTAAGATGCTCTGCTGCCAGCACCTCTGGGAGGGTGTGAGGAGAGATGACAGCTTTGGGGTCTTGGAAATGTGCTTCTGTTTCTCAGGTTTAACTGAGTGAGTCTGTGCATATTTAGCTAGACAAAGTCCTTAGGGGCAGTTGGGGAAGGAGAAAAAAAAAATCCTCGATAATAGATGAATGCTTATTAAAATTTATCGAGTATGAATACTATAGGAATAGGCTAGGTTTGGTTGTTCATGCCTATAATCCTAGCATTTGTGAGGCTGAGGCCAGAGGCTTGCCACAAGTTTTAAGACTAGCCCAGGTTGCATAGTGAGTTCCAGGCTAGCTCTGTCTCAAAAAAAAAAGAAGAAGAACATATTTGATGGTAGAAAGATGAGTCAGTGGTTAAAAGCACTTGCTTTTCTTGCAGAATACTCAGCATCCACGTGGCAGCTCACAAAAGCCTGTAACTTCAGTTCTTGCTTTCTGACATTCTTTTCTGCTCTTTGCACACATGGACGGACACACCACACACACACACACACACTTTTTTAAGTTACATGAACCATCCAGGCAATGGTATTGCATGCCTTTAATCCCTGCAGAGGCCAGCCTGGTATCTTCAGAGCCAGTTCTAGGACAGTTAGGGCTACACAGAAATACTGTCTTGAAAAACAAAACAAACAAACAAAAAAACTCAAAAAACAGTTACATGAGCAAGAAATAGCTGTGCTTCTTACTGAAGCATACTCCTGCTCCCAAAATTTGGACATGGGGCTTTTTTGGTTATTTATTAATCTGAGATGTGGTATATTCCAGAAGTAGTTGACAGAACATTTTCTGTCAACTTGACTTTGTCAGGTGATGCATAACATGTTTTCTCTTGAGGCCAGTGGTGCAGGCAGCCTCTTAGAATTCACATTTCTTGGTTTCCTTTAAGAAACTGTTCCCTCCTGGAACAGGGCTTCCTGAGAGCCATTATTGCAGAATTCCGTCGATCTGGACTAGAGGAAGCAACATTTCAACAGGTAATTGGTTGCGTGTTGTTTGTTTTTGTGTTGTTATTTGTTTGTTTTGTTTTTCCTGATCCTTCTAGATATGGGTCCAGGGTTCTTAGTATAAGTGTTACAGCTCGGATGGTAAAAAGTATCCTGCAGCTGGGAACCAACAAATAACACAAAGTCCCACACCATACAACAAACCTCACAAAAGAAATTTATTGGGAGGAGAAACCCCAAGAGGGTGAACAGCAGAGAACTGGGCAGAACATAGAGTTTTGTGGGGGCACTTTCCAGAGTGGCCTGGCTTTGGAGAAGTTACATGGCCTGATCTTGGGGCAAGCTTGTTGATTGTTTTTTCTTTAGGTAGGGCAGGGCCTGGTCACTCTAGCCTCCTGATAGGGTCATTAGGGAAGTCTGGGGGTTGGGGTGGGGACTAGCCAGTGGAAATGGGGTGGCCACTCACCAGCCTCAAGAGATCAGGCTGGGCTACCAGAGTAGTCTATGTGCCCATAGGTATCCATTATAAGGTGTCTGAAAAGCCAACACTTAGAATATGTGGACCGGGGCTAAGAATATACTTCATAAAGTCGGTATTGGCCTTGAATGAACAAATCTGAGTTCTGTTCTCCAGTACATCATAAACCAGGCATGGTGGTGCATACCTGTTATCCCAGGACTTCGAGGTAGATGCAGGAAGTTCCTAAATTCAGTCATCCTTGGCTACATACCCAGTTTGACACCAGCCTGGAATATGTGAGACCTTGTTTTTTAAACAAGCCCCAAGGTGGTGTACTCCTTCAATCCCAGCAATCAGGAGGCAAAGGCAGGCAGATCTCTGTGTTCGATACCAGCTTGGTGTACAGAGAAAGTTCCAGGAGAGGCTCCAAAGCTACAGAGACACCCTGTCTCAAAAAATAAAGAACAAACAACAAAATCCAGAAGGGACCCTTAGCAGTTCTCTATTCCAAATATTGCTCAGTTGTATGCAATACATCTTGAGGTAAACTGAAGCTTTGCTTTAAAACATGAAGTAGCCACATGGTGACTCACATCTGTAAACTCAGCACTTGGAAAATGAGGCAGAAAAATTGCCAAGAGTTTGGAGCTAGATTGAACTACATGGTGAGTTCCAAACCACCTTGAGCTACAGACTACGACTTTGCCTTAAAAAACTAGGGAAAAAAGAGGTGTCTGTCACTACAGGTGTTAGGGAAGAAGAGAGAAGTAATTCGACTAGTGTCACATAGGTAAATTACAGAAAAGCAGGGTTCAAATATGCCGTGTCCTGTTCTAGAGCTTGTTTTCTACTCCTTGGCAGGGGCACAAGGGCATCTACTGATGGGGTATTTGGTATCTAAGGTACCAAGTGTCTGGTTGTTTGAGACTGGATCTTATTTTATATTTGGTTGTCCTGGAACTCACAAAGATCTGCATGCCTTTGCCTCCCAACTACTTGAACTAAAGATGAGAGAGCATCACCCACCCTGCCCTAGGCACCCAATTTTTGGAAAAGATGAATGATCAGATACAAACGCAGGATTATTGTTCCTCTTAACCTTTGCTTTACTTTTGATGTCTAGATATACAGTCAGCATGTGGCTCTGTGCAGGATGGAGGGACTGCCTTACCCTACCATGTCAGAGACCATGGCTGTGTGCTCAAATCTGGGTTCTTGCCGCCTCCTCCTGGTAGAGCCCAGCAGGAATGACCTGCTACTTCGAGTGAGACTCAATGTGAGCCAGGATGATGTGCTTTACGCTCTGAAAGAAGAGTGAAGAACTTCAAGACTTCTGCTGTTTCTCAAACAGCCTTATTTATTTTTCTTCAGAACATGAATTATAGCAAAATACATAGAATGAAAATGATTGTTGTAGATTATATAATTTTATGTTACTTGGCTTTTCCAGAGTGTTGGAGAAGTTTATGATGTACTATGTATATACAGATATATATATCACTATACTTTTATCTATATAAAGTAGTTCTGGGAGAATTTTTATGAAATTGGCCACAGTGATTGCTTCTGGAAAATCCTGGTGGTTTGTCAGGGGTGAGAGGAAGAGTTCATTCACTGCATGCCACGATATATTTGGTCATGAATGACAGTTAATTTTTCTTTTGTAAAAGAACCGATGGGGTTTTGTGTGCACCACAGTGACACAGTGCTCCTTGTATGCAGGAGGTACTGGGTTCATTTCCCACTGCTGAATGCAAACCAAATACCTTTAGCCCTGGTTCCTTGTATCCTGCATGGCACATACCTGCAATCCCAGTATTTAGGAGGCTGAAGTAGGATTACTTTAGGTTTGATGCTATCCTGGGTCACATAGTAAATTCAAAGCCAGCCTGGAAAACAAAACGAAACAAACAAGTGTTAGAAATAATGCAGAAATAATAGGTACAAAAAATTTAAAAGGTATCTCACAGAGTTAGAGATGCCTGAGTGGTTAATGGGACTTGCTCTTGCAGTGAATCTGGGTTCAGTTCCCAGCACCCAGTGACAGCTCACAACCATCTGTAACTCCAGTTATAGGTTATCTGAAAACCTTCCAAGTATGTACATGGTACATAGACATATATGTGTGTGTGTGTGTGTGTGTTCATACAGGCAAACACTCAAATTTTAAAACAAAATTTTGTCTGCACCACTGTGTATATACTACCTGTGTGCAATCCGCTCAGAGGCCAGGGAAGGCCATCTGATCCCCTGAAACTAATTACAGATGGTTGAGTTGCCATGTGTGTGCTGGGAACCATATTTGTTCTCTGCTGAGCCACCCCTCCAGCCTCTGTATCAGAACATTTTTATAACTTCCAATATTAGCTAAAAGGAAGAAGAGTAAAGATATTATTTATAGGAGAAAAATGAGCAACAAACAATGAAGCAGTTGAAATGTTTCAAAGACATGAATCTCAAAGCCCAAAATGGGGGTTCTTTCAGAGAATCTGAGAATTGAAGTCAGATAGCTTATGACTCAACTCCTGACCTCCATGGACATCTACATGCACACGTACAGACAAATGATAATTTTTAATTGCCAGAAATAAAAAGCTGAAGAGATGACTCGGTGGTTAAGAGCATATACTGCTCTTGCAGAGAATCTGAATTTCTTGCACCTACATCTGACAGTTCACAACTGCCTGTAACTCCAGCTCCAGGGTATCTGACACCCATGGACTGTGAGGGCATGTGCACTTGTATGTACATAACTACATACAGATCTACACATGAATGCATTATCAGAAAATTTTTAATCTTTAAAAATCTGAAACGTGACAGGAGACAGATAGCTCAGTGGGTACAATGTTTACTTCATGAGCCCGACAAACACAAAAGCTGGGCACAGTGGTAAGCATATTAATTGCAGTATGGGGTTAAGACACAGGTGATAAACCCCTAAGGGCTTGACAGTCAGCTGACAGTGAGCTCTGGGTTCACTGAGAGTGTCTTGAAAAATGAGGAAAACGAGGAAGAATATGAACCCAGGCATGGTAGCACATGCCTTTAATCCTAGCCCTTGACAGGCAGAGGCAGGTGTATTTCTGTGAGTTTGTGGCTAGTTTGAGCTACATAGCATGTTCCAGGCCATTCTGGGCTACAGTGTTGAGACCCTGTCTCCAAAAGCACACAAAACATCTAGCTCTCCTCTCAAAGGAAGTAACTTAAAGAAATAGTTGGTTCTGGAGCCAAATATGAGTAGCAATGGACTGAGAACACAAATTTAGTTTATTCCAAGCACCACATTCAAACAATGTAGCAGTTTTATGCAGTTTTTATAGAAACAAACAAAAATCAGGTTATTTTTCTTTTCCCTCCAGCCTGTTTTGTTTCCTATTATTTCTCTGTGTTTTTGTGAGTGCATGCTACATTTGTATAGTGAGTTCCCTTGGAGGCCAGAAGAAAGCATCATATTCCCTAGAGATGAAATTACAGAAGGTTATGAGACCTTTTATGTGGGTGCTAGGAAATGAATTCAGGTCCTCTGAAAGAGAAACCAAGATTTTTTAAACCATGGAACTCATTTCTCCAGTTGCAAAGAAAATTTCCAGAGACATTGGTGGAAGCTTCAAAGTGGAAACACCCCTGCTCTAGGTCTCTCCTGCTATCTGATGATAGTTGTATCTTTTGGCTTAGTAGAAGCTAGAGGTCCATTCATACACTCCAAAAGCATTTACCTGACACTAGTGGACAATATAAATAGCTAATTAGGCACCTAAAGTAAGCCAAGATAATTTGGCTTCGGAATTGTAACATGTCACCTTTCTATAGCAGCTGAAGTTAAAAAAAATTACTAATCTGCTTTCTAGACTTTTAAATGTGGGTGCAACTTTTTCTGGGAATCTCCTTTAACTGAAGTTTCTAAACTATATGGCCAACTATATTGCTCCTGGCTATACATCCAAATAACTATATCCTACCATATAAATACTTACACATGGATCATGTCTATTGCTCTCCTATTCACAATAGCAAGGAAATATAATTGGCTTAGATGACCATCAGTAGATGCAATGTGATACATATATGTTCACAACGTATTTACTCAACTGTATAGAAAAATGAAATTAGGAAATTTGCAGGAAGATGGATCTATAAAATATAATAGGTGAAGTGATAATACTTCATGTTGTCTCATGTGGATGCTAGCTTTTAAACATTTATATTACACAGTGAAACTATTCTCATAACAAACCCAAGAAAACTTCCCAAACACTAAACTCCGACAACAAAAATAACCCATAACTGGGGAGATGGCTCAGTAAGAGAGCTTGGTCTATAAACAGAAAGACATTAGTTTGATTCCCAGAAACTACATGAAAAAAGCTAGGCATATAGGTCTGAAGAGACCGCACAGACAGACTCATACAACTCTCAGAGAGGTGTTTTTTTTTTTTTTTCAACTTAGGCTCAGTTTCCAGAACCCGCTTAGAAACATTTTTAACTCTGGTTCCAGAGCATCTTATGCCTCCTGGTCTCCATGGGCAGTGCATATATGTGGTGCACTTACATAAGTGCAACAGACCACTCGTACATATTAAAAAATAAAGGGGGGGGGGCTGGAGAGATGCTTCAGAGGTTAAGAGCACTGACTGTTCTTCCAGCGGTTCTTAGTTAATTCCCAGCAACCACATGGCTCACAACCATCTCTAGTGGGATCGATGCCCTCTTCTGGCATAAAGAATGCACGCAGGCAGAGCACTGTGTACATAATAAATAGGTAAATCTTAAAAAATAAAAGGGGGGTTGGAGAGATAGATAGCTCAGAGGTTAAGATCACTCCTCCCCTAAAGTTTCGCCCCGCCCTCTGACTGCAAAAAAGGCCCACTTCCTCTGACCATCCTGGAGAACCGGCCCTGCTGTAAGCCAAGTGAGCCTCCGAGCGCGCCAACATAATTACGGGGGAGGCAGGGAGGAGAAACTACACCGGAAGGGGCGCGCCTACCGCGCGTGTGAGGAGCGCAGGACGCCGACCTAACAACGCTCCTGTCAGCCAGTCTCGCGTTACCTGCTCGGAGATGCCTGCACACTGCCAACCCCACCCTCAGCGTCACCTGTCTGCGCGTTCCGCCCGCCTGGCCGCGCACATGCGCACTGTGGGTCGCTGGCTGTGGTGTCACGTGCCGAGCGCGGGCCACCGCCTCCTGGGCGGGCGCTTCTTGTGGCTGTCTCGGCCGCCACCCGGGGGCCGCGGGAAGCCTGGCGGTTCCGGGCTGGAAGAGGCCCGCTTTTGGTTCGTATCCGCCGCGAGGTATGCCACGTGCTCGCTTCCCGGCTTGTAGAGTCTGGGGGCGGCCGGGGAGATGGCGGTAGCTCGGGCCGGGCCGGGCCGGGCCGGGCCTGGCAGTGGGAGGACGTGCGGGTGCGCGGAGCCCGGCGTGGCCCCTCGACGCCGACTTGCCTCTCCTGAGTCCTCCAACCCTGAAACCCGCCCCAGATGACGCCTCGCAGTCATCTGCAGTCAGTCGAAATCTGACACTTGGGGTGACGAGTGCTTGGGCGCTCACACCCAGGGAACCTCGCAGCTCTGTTGATTCCAGCTCCAGACGCGGGGCCCCGTCTGTTTCTCAGTCCCCACGCTACCCCACGCGCCATCGTAGACTTGCAAGATGCTCAGGGCCAAGGTTTCCCGCCCCGCGTCATCCCCCACTTCCCATGCTCCTTTTGCAGCTAATGTTTCTTCTCGTTGCTGTCAGGATAACGCCCAAATACCTTTAGAGCCTCAGGTGTTTCTATTTCATCCTTAGTTCGTGTCTCCATTCTAGTCTCGTGGTTTGGTTTATGCCTCAGCGGTGCCGGGCTTCCTTTTCCTTGTGATCTTAGAACCGGTACCAGTTTGTTAGATTTGCTTGGAATTCTGCTCTTCCCTAGTCTCCAGACTTTATGACTCAGCATAGGCATCGTCCTTTCTGAGAAGCTTTTTTTTTTTTTTTTTTTTTTGATGTTCTGGATAGGGGGCCAACCTGAGGTGGTTGTCCGCCCAGGGTTTGGTTTCCTTGAAGGACGGTGGGAGCAGATGAGTTTCTGCACTTCCGGTGCTGGGTGGGTTGTGCCACGGTACCCGTTGATCACTTGTGACATCTTTCAAAGGATCTGAATGCTGAGTCAGGTGCGAACTGTCCCGGGAAACTGATGGTGACAGCGATCAGAGTCTGTTGCCTAGTGGTGCCTATTAGCCATGTACAACTACTAAGCACTTGGACCTAGCGTTGCTTCCGTGAATCTGTCTTCCATGCCCAGTCACTCAGTTCAGTAACTTGTGTACACACTCCCCGTATCACTGTTGACAGTGATAACCCAGCCATTCATCCACTGCCTGCTCTTGCCTGAAGGAATTTGCTCCATAACCATTGGTACTCCTGTTAGAGCCATGTCTCATCATCTGCTCCAGTATAAGTCTCTTCAACTTTACACCTAATAGGTATCTAGCCTGCCAAGATGCCAGGGCCAAGACCTCGGAAGGCCCCTAAGACCAGAGGCCAGGGTGCCGCAACTGCCAAGCAGGTAGGGACACAGTCTCCTTCACCCCAGGGTCAACTTGGGGTGGGGATCTCTAGTTACTTGTGACAAATCGAGACACCTGTGTGGTGACTTGTTAGTCCATACAGGATAGGAAATGCTTTTGGTGATGACTGGAGCCTGACCTCTCTTGGGTTTCAACTCTGCCATCCTGTTGTGGCCATACTGTAAGCATTTTGACAGCTTGGATGGGATGGACAGGGACTCTGGCACTCGGGAGCCGGAACACTGAGTGTTACAGCTCAGATGGAAAGGTATTCTGGCATTCTGGAGCCAAGGAATACCACAGGTCGCAGTAAGCATAGCAGCTTACAACCCTGCCTCAGGGAAAGGCTTCCCCAGTATATCAGCTCTGCTGTGGTAGGAGAGGGTTTCCCTGAGAAGTTGTTACAGTTCAGCTCCAGTCCCTGGAGAATGGAGTGTAACAACTTCACTTTGCCTGCTCTGCTCAAGGTGGTCTCTGTGTCTCTGCTGCATCAAAAGGTTTTACTCAAACCTCATTCAAGAGATATATTGGGAGGGAAGAATCCAGGAGAGTGGCTGCCTTCTGCCAGTGTGGCAGAGGACAGCCTGGCAGGCACTTGGTTTATGGAGGGCTTCTTAGGGGGTGGAGTTTTTCCAGGGTGGGGATTGGTCAGATTTCAGTCCTTGAGCTCAGACTGGCTAGATCTGGTTATCAGGGATTGGTTGGTTTTCTGCATAGGTTTAGGGTCAGATTTGTCTCTGGTTACAGGGATAGTGTTTCTTTCCCTGGTCCTTTTTGGTCTTTTGGCTCTAATTTTAGGACCAGGGTGTATTTCTTTCACTGACTATGATTCCAGGGACAAAGTGTGTTTCTTGGGCACTGGTTTCAGGGTCAGGGTGCATTTCTTTAGTTCTGGTTGCAGGGCCAAAGTGTGTTTCTTTGGCTCTGCTCAGGGTGTGTTTCTTTGGTTGGCCCTTTCCCCTTACACCCCACATAAACAACCTAAGTGTTCAGGAGCTACCAAGGCATAGGTTGTTCTGAGACCCAAGTGTTCTCACAGATTCCTTATTTGGTGTGATAGCTTTGTTGGCTAGCTCTAGGATGCCAAGACTTTAGGGCTGTAGCCAATTGGTAAATAGTGCTGCCCACAGGCAAAGGGAAAGACTCTAGTGAGGGAATCTGAAGAAGGTGTATCTTCCATGTTTTCTTCCTTTATTTCTTCTTGGTCTTAGTCTATTTTTATTGTCTTCTGGAAGCAAGTAGCCTGGGCTTGGTGGTCCACATCCAAAATCCTGGTACTTTGGAGGCGGAAGTAGGAAGATCATGAGTTCAAGACCAGTGTGGGCTACATAAGCAAGTTTCAAGTCATCCTGGACTGCATAGCAAGCAAGATTCAGACAACAGATGGAGGCTAGAGAAATGGCTCAGTGGTTAAGAGTGCTTGCTGTTTTTGCAGAAGAATGGGATTGAGTTCCCTATATCTACTTGGTGACTTACAACCATGTGTTACTCCAGTTGTAGGGGATTTGACACCCTCTTTATTTTGTGGGATGGTCTGGAGTTCTAGCCTACAACTTTCTCATGTAGATCTAATTGACCTTGGACTTGGAATGGTTTTCCTGTCTTAACCCCTCATGTTCTGGTTCATTATGTGATTTTTTAAACAGTTATTTAGGTATATGTATGTGTGAACGTATGCCACGTGTGTGGGTGTCAGGCCAGAAGAGATTATCAGATACCCTGGAGCTAGAGTTACAGCAATTGTGAATCACCTAATGTGGTACTAGGAACTGAACTTGGGACCTTGGGAAGCATTTTAGTGCTGAATTATCTCAATAGAACCTATAATGTGATTTGTGAGAATCCTCTGAGAACTGGAGAGATGGCTTTTCTATTCAGAGCACTTGGGTTTGGTTCCTAGTTCCCACATGGGAGCTTCTGACCTCCACAGGCACACATTCATATATGCAGGCAAAACCATTCTTGCTCTCTTTTTATTTATTTATTTGTTTGTTTATTTATTTATTTATTTATTTATTTATTTATTTTTGGTTTTCCAAAACAGGATTTCTCTGTAGCTTTGGAGGCTGTCCTAGAACTTGCTCAGTAGATCAGGCTGGCCTCTAACTCAGAGAGATCCACCCGCCTCTGCCTCCTGAGTGCTGGAATTCAAGGCGTGCACCACCACCACCTGTAGACAAAACATTCTTAGACATAAAATTATAAAATCTATATGCCATATGGTGGTGTGTACATCTTTAATCCCAGCTCTTGGGAGGCAGAAGCAGGTAGATCTCTTGAGTTTAAGGTTAGCATGATCTACAGAGAAAGTTCTAGGACAGGCAGGGCTACACAGAGAAACCCGGTCTTGAAAGACAAAAATAAACGCTTTTTTAAAATGTCTGTGTTCTTAGCTGGGACTTTTTGTGGAGTTCGACACTGAGGACATGCTCCTGGGGATGGACGACACTGAAGATGAGGGAGACCTGGAGGCTGAGCTGCTGGCTCTCACTGGGGAAGTGGGGAGCACAAGCAAGAAGCCAGCACCCAAGGGGCATGGTGAGTTGTTACCCCTGGGCTGGCCCAGGCTCATGGGGAAGAGGGTCCTTACCTTACAGCCTCTAAGAATCAGTCAGTCAGCTCCCCTAGTTCTTTTGGTAATTCTACCCTTCTCTTAAAGGTATTTGGAGCTTCTTCCCCTTCATGGACAAATTTGATTCTAGCCTAACTCAGGTGGCTAGTGTTAGTCCTACATAGACAGGGCTTCCTATTCAGTAGTGACCATCACTGACAGATTGTGTATAGAGTAAATAGACATGTCAGAAGAGTAAGTGAAATCTCCATTTTGGTATCAGAATAAGGAGTCTGAATATTTCTCTTAGCAGGAACCCTCAGAGGCACCCTGTATGTTAATGCCGTGACTGGGAAGGGCTCACTAGTCTGGACCTGCTTTGGGGTTAGACAAGCCTGGGTTGGAATTTCGCCACTTAACTAAGATTGTGGATTTGGGGATATGATGTTAGTGCATCTTAGTGTATTCAGTATAGAAAATGAGGATGATATTGGTCAGGTGGTGGTGGGGCTTGCCTTTAATCCTAGTGCTTGGAAGGCAGAGGCAGGGGATCTCTAAGTTTGAAGCTAGCTTGGTCTACAGAGTGAGTTCCAGGACAGGCTACAAAGAGAAACCTTGTCTCAACCATCCCACCACCCACCTCCAAGAAGCCGTGGGGTAGGGGGTGAGGATATTGTTATCCACCTTACAGAATTATAAGTAGTAACTTGAGTAGATTAAAACCATTTACAGGTATGAAAGGCATAGTGGGGGCAGGATATAGGTACATTTACCTAGAAGCAGAGATGCAGGGAAAGGAGCGGCTTGTTACTTGCTGTAGAGCCCAGGAAGGCAAGGGTCTTTTGAGCTGGGTCATGAAAAAAGAGTTCTGTTCTAAGTGGGACTTTGCTATGTAAGGGATAGGGAATGTCCACCTAGGATAGTACCAGTATAGTGAATTTATAAAACCCTTTACTGTTAGCACCTTACTGAGTCACTCTCTTTCCTCAGCCCCCCTGCCCATGGCCCACATTGAGAAGTTGGCAGCAGACTGTATGCGAGATATGGAGGAGGATGGAGAGGAAGATGAAGGGCTGGAGGAGGATGCAGAGCTGCTGGTATGTTTGCCAGGCTGGTGTCCAAGAATCAGCTCTGGCGTGGTAGAGAGAGCTATTGAGGGGCTGGCGTTTGTTCCTCTTTGCCCCAGACCAAGTGAGTGCCTGTCCCTTCCCAGGCAAGACCTCATGGCTATATAGTGAGAGATTTGTCTGAGCTTTGCAGTTTGGAATTTTCAGAAGTCTGTTTTTATCAAGGCCTTCCTTGACCAGATTAAAGAACTGTTGGCAAAGAGGACTAAGCTCAAGATGTGGCATTGACAGATACTGCTGGGGATACAGGTCCTTTGATTTTTTTTTTCCCAATCATGAATGGCCATGAGGCACCCAAAGTTCTTGGACTGTGTTTCTGCAGACAGAGCTGCAGGAGGTCCTGGGTGTGGATGAAGAAACTGGGCTGCTAGATGGCAGTGAGGCAACAAGTCCAGACTTGTCTGAGGAGAAGGCGCAGGACAACACTGAACAACCTGTAATGCAGACAGCCTTCCAACAGGCTTTACCTGCGGCCCCTCAGGTAGGTTTTGCAGAATGGCCCTAATGTGTCTTTGCTGTGCCTGTGTGTCTACGAATAGTATGCATATAGCATGGTTTATATAAGCAGAGTTGCCACATAACACTAGCAGCTCCCCCACATAGAAAGCAGGTATGAGAAACTTACATAGCTGGCGGACTTCAAAGGCCTTCCTGTTCCAGGCCACTCCTGGACATCGTTTCATGGCCTCTACTGATGGTGGGGTGGGAGGAGCTCTGTTTGCCTCCCTAGTGGGCTTTGCCTCATACTCTGGGGGTTTAGGTACTTCTTTCTCCTGGAGTCCCAGAGATCCGTCTTCTGGGGTAGCTTCCTCACAGGGAGAGAATGGCAAGGGCCTAGCTGGCTACGGAGTGGCCCAGCCCTGAGCTGAAGTATCTGCAGGCTGGAGGGCCTCGGGGGCTGCAGGCTTTGCTGGAGGAACGGATCCATAACTACCAGGAGGCTGCAGCCAGTGCCAAGGAGGCTGGTGAAGCTGCCAAAGCCCGGCGCTGTGAACGAGGCCTGAAGGTGAGTCGGGCTGCCTGTGAGGCAGACTTGGAGAGCCTGTGGGTAAGGTGATAGTAAAGGGAAGACCACTTCCCTATGATAAACATGTTGGATGGATCACAGGCCTGTCTTCCAGCAAGGCCCAGGTAGCTACCTAGGTTTCTGGTCTAATTCTTCCCCTCAGACTTTGGAGTCCCAGCTTGCCACTGTGAGGAAAGGTGGGAAGATCAGTGAGGATGAGATTCCACCTCCAGTAGCCTTGGGCAAAAGGCCCCCACCTCACCAGGAAACGGCCAACAGAAGCTCTGAGACAGACACTCTAGCTCCCTGTGCCATGGAGCCAGGTATCTGAAGATATCCCGTTCTGGTTCCCATAGCCTGCCTACCACCTGCCTGCCTGTCATTACTCCAAGAGTTCTTAGACCAGCAAGATGTGGGGTGGGCATGGGGTTCCTCCTATGACCCTCTAGCCAAGTTCTCTGGGGGTTTTTGTTTTGTGTAGGCCATCTCTTCCAACCTGAGACCAGCCTCCCAGGTAGCTCTGCCGTTGCTGCCCTGTCTGATGCAGACCTAGACCCACAGGCCCTGTTGTCTGCACGACAGAGAGAGTACAAAGTAGCTGCTCTCAATGCCAAGCGGGCTGGGGATCTAGATCGTGCCCGGGAGCTCATGAGGATTGGAAAGGTATGACACCCTTGCTTTCATCCTGTAGATGGGGAAGCAGAGGCTCAGGGAGCCAGACAATACCTGGATGAGAGTGATCTGATGGGAGTTGTTTCAGGCCAGGCTTTTGGGGTGCCCTGGCTTATGCCTGTAACTGTTCTTCCTCTGCAGAGATTTGGTACTGTCCTGGAGGCCCTGGAGAAGGGGCAGCCTGTGGATCTGAGTGGCATGCCCCCGGCACCTGAGGGTCAGTCAGATAGATAATGGGGTTATCTGCTTAGGCTGGGATTAAGGAGGACTTTGAGGTGTGGGGGTGGCCAGACACTCTAACTACCCTGCTACTCTGGGTCCCCAGATCTGAAGGCCCTTCCACAGGCTTCTAAGGCCCCCACTGCAACCCGAGTCCTGTCCCCAGCAGTGGAGCAAGTGCAGCCAGTGATGACTTCTGAGCTCCCAGCCACTCCAGGTAGGACTTCACAGTGGGACAGTTGAGTAGGTGCCTGCGAAAAGGCAGGATGAGCTGATAGTCTCTTTTTTACCACCTTTATAGTGGCCCCTGCAGAGCCCAAAACAGTGCTGGATGCTTTACAGCAAAGACTGAACAAGTACCGTGAGGCAGGCATCCAAGCCCGGGCCAGTGGGGATGAGCGTAAGGCCAGGATGCATGATCGCATTGCAAAGGTGAGCCTCTTGCTGTGCAGCCCCTATCCTATGCTGACCTGTCCTGGCTGTGCCCTGCCTGTCTGCTTTCCCTACAAGCCCTGGTCCTCTCCGAGTCCTTGTCTGTTGACAGAGATCTTGTTGCCTTAGCACAACCTTTCCCTGTCTTTTCTCTCTGCCTCTCTGCAATGAAGGCATGGAGCCTGCAGGTTGAGGTCTGCTAGAAATTCCTTCCTTCCCATGTAGCAATATCAGGATGCTGTTCGAGCTCATCGAGCAGGAAAGAAAGTTGACTTTGCTGAGTTACCTGTTCCTCCAGGTGAGGCTTGGCTTATGGAACTTAAAGAGGTTTGTGAGCAAGAAAGGAGAAGAAATTTCACATATGTGTACCTCCATCTTATGCGAATTACCCATCCCAGAGCCAGGCAAGACACAGAACAACCTCAGGTGTCCTTAATGCTGCTACCTTGCTCCCTCTCCATTCTGTCTTCTCAGGATTTCCTCCCATTCCTGGCCTGGAGCCCAGTAAAGGTGCCGGGGAGGATTCAATGGCAGCAACTTTGGCAACTGCCCAAAAACTGGCCTCAGAAGATACAGTCCTGGAAGATGAAGATGAGGAGGTTTGGCTGTGGGTCCAAGATGGCAGGGTTTGGTCAGGGGGTACAACAGAGAAGGAATAAAGCCAGACCCTGTAGTGTTTTAACCTCATAGAGATCTTCCTCCCCCCCCCCCTTTTTTTTTTAGAGAAAATCTTTGCCAGAGGTGGAACTAGAATTCAGACCTGGGTATTTCTGACCCCAAACCCAAGTCTCTCTATTACGGCGATGCTTTCTGTTGGGGAAGTTAGGCTAGAAAGCTTTTGAGGTTTCTGTCTTTGAGTGCTTTGGCTCTGGAGGCAAAGCCATTCCAATGAGGTCACATAGTGAATGGGTGCAGCTTTGGAAGGTAGCCAAAGTCTCGGCCAGGGAAATGTTAACTATTTCATAGCCTCCTAACTGGGTGGTACCTGCAGAGTGACATCCCAGCACAGGCCCCAGTGGCCAAGAAACCAGCACAGCCACTGGCCCCTTCATCTCATCTTCTGACTGAGCCCAAGGCCTCAAGTTCTAAGGAATCACTGAGTCCATCTGGTGAGTTTGGGACAGACAGGACAAGAGTGGTGGTCCAGTGAGATAGGCATGGCCCTAACCATTGTCCTCTTCTGTTAGTTCGGGAGCAGCTGGCACTGCTGGAGGCTCGGAAACTGCAATACCAGCGAGCAGCCCTGCAAGCCAAGCGCAAGCAGGATCTGGAGCAGGCCAAATCCCATTTACGAGTGTCTAAAAGTCTTGAGGCCCAGATCATCCAAGCCCGAGCAGGTCAACCCATTGACCTCTCCAAGGTGAGTCCCTCAAGCACAGAGGTGGGGGCTGGTGGATGGGCATGAACTGGGGTGGCTTCTGGGTGGATGTAGAACTTGTGTAGAATGGTGACAGCAGGGGAAAGGGATATGGGTGACATGGCAGGGCCAGTCTAGTAAAGCAGTGCTTTAGGAGTCTGAGATAGAGTGGGAGGCAGTAAATGTCAGGAAGTTAATTAATGGCAGTTGGGAAAAAAGTACAGCAAGGATTCCTGTGTGTGTTTGGCTCAATAGAGGTGTAATCTGACTCTTGGGCCTGAGGGGCCTTATGATCTGGGCAGGTGCCTTCACCCTTGACGGATGAAGAGGGTGACTTCATCCTCATTCACCATGAGGATCTGCGACTCTCTCAGAAGGCTGAGGAGGTGTATGTCCAGCTACAGAAAATACTCCTGGAGCAACATGAGGTCAGTAGCCTGTGTACCTCTGCCTTCTCTGTCCTAGCATGGATTCAGAGTCTAGCTCTTCTCACTAGTCTAAGGTATGACCCTGAAGAAGCTACTTTCCTCATTTGCAAAATGAAGCTACCCTTTTAATTTTACTTTATTTTTTTAACATGTATGTTTTGCTTACACACATGTGTATGTATATCATATATGTGCCTTGTGTCCATGGAGGTTAGAAGACATTGGATTCCTTGAAACTGAAGTTACAGATGCTTGTGAGCCATTATGTAGGTGCTGAGATGTATGGGTCCTCTGCAAGAATAGCAGTTACTCTTACCCAGTGAGAATCTCTCTAGCCCTCTTTTCATGTAGTTTTGAAATTCAAACAGCAGAGTAAAGGGGAATGGGTTTTGTGAGAGGGAACTGACCTGAAGTGTTACCTTTTCTGAGAAGACAGAATTTGTTTTTTGATGGTGTTGATCTTTGATGGTATTGATCTTTGAGACAGAATCTTATATGTACTATGCTGTCCTAGAACTCATCCTGGACCCCAGGCTGATTTCAAACTCAAAGTCTTTCTGCCTCAGCTTCCCAAATGCTGGAATTATAGTGTCACGGTAGAGCCACACATAGTGGGTGATAGATGCCTGCTAAACCAGCACCTGGGAGGGTAAGGCAGGAAAACTACTGTGAGTTCCAGTGTGGCCTGTGTAAATAAGACCCTGTCTCAAACTGACAAATACATGTAAGCTGGAAAATGTGTTAGGCCTTAGAAAGGAAAGGTACAGCTAAAGAGTACTGTTAGGAGCTTTGAGAGGTTAGGCCTTGCTAGCCTTGGCAAGCCCTGCTCTGGCTATGGAGTCACACTGGGCTCCTGTTTCTAGAAGTGCCTGCTGTTCTCCAAGCAGTTCATGCACCAGGGCAATGTGGCTGAGACTACCCGGTAAGTGCCAGGCTGTGCTGGGCGTGTTGGGTTAGGGACCAGATAACAAATCCTATCTTGCTGACTTGGTTACCTGTCCCTGGCAGGTTTGAGAAGCTTGCTCAGGACAGAAAGAAACAGCTTGAGATCCTGCAGCTAGCTCAGGCCCAGGGCCTTGACCCTCCCAGCCACCACTTTGAGTTGAAGACGTTCCAGACTGTGAGGTGCCAGAACCCAAGGGAAACTGGATCTGTGCAGGGATAGGCAGGTTTGGAGCAGAGCCTAGAGACTCTGGAGTGGGACGCGTGCGTGCGTGCGTGCGTGCGTGCGTGCGTGCGTGTTTGCATGTGTGCGTGTTGCCTTCAGGGAGGAGCTCAGAGCTGCTGTGCCATACAGATGGCTTGGAACAGGAGTCAGAGACCAAGAACTGCCCACAGAGCTTTGCCCTGGACCACTGTGCTGGCCCTTGTTCTGCTGCTGTCTTTTACTCTGCACTCTCTTCATTCTGGTCTGTAGGATCTTCTCAGAACTCAACAGCACAGAAATGCATCTGATCATCGTCCGGGGAATGAACCTCCCAGCCCCACCAGGTACCCAGGATCACCTTACTGAAGGAAGTTGTCCATATGTCCTACCTGCTGCCTGGGCACCAGGCTGACTATGCCTTCTCACCTGACTCCCTTTTCTTCTGTAGGAGTGACTCCTGATGACTTGGATGCTTTTGTACGCTTTGAGTTTCACTATCCTAACTCGGTAAGGTTCTGATAGAGTTAGGACCCTCTGAACCCCAGTACTGTTTAGTTTCTCTGCATCTTTGAGAGTCATGGCCATAGAGATGGGTTCCTTTCCTTACCAAAGTACTATGCCTGCATGCCTGGTTTTTTGTTTGTTTGTTTGTTTGTTTGTTTGTTTTGTTTTGTTTTTGAGTGATTTTAACTTCTCTCATCTTGCTGCTGTAGGACCAGGCTCAAAAAAGCAAAACAGCCGTGATAAAGAATACAAATTCTCCAGGTGAGTGGCAAATAAGACCTATTTCTGTCTCACTTCCTGTATGGACAATCCAGTTTCCAGTGTTTTAAGAGCTGTCTGTCTTGGTCTACCAGCTCAAAAATAAAGGCAGGTATTATTAATAGTTCTCTTACATAGTTGTGAATACCGTGGCCAAGAGCTAGAGAGGGCTCAGTGGTTAAGAATGTAGTGCTCTTGGGCTAGAGAGATGGCTCAGTGGTTAAAAGCACTGGCTGCTTTTCCAAAGAAGCACATTTCAATTCCCAGCACCCACATGGCAGCTCACAACTGTAACTTCAGTCCTAGGGAATCCAACACCCTCACACAGATGCATATACAGGCAAAACACCAATGCACATAAAATTAAAAAAAAAAAAAAAAAGATATACTCTTGACTCTTGCAGAGGACCTACTTCTGGTCCCCAGCACCCACATTAGGGTTAACATCCATCTACCTGTAACTAGCCCCAGAGGGACACCATACCTCTAGCATTCTTGGTCACTTGCATGAACACATTCATACATGCTATTAAAACTAAGAAAGGTCTTTTTCAGTTTTTCTGAAGTAGGATTTCATTATGTAGCTTGTAGCTCTGCCTGGCCAGGGACTCACACACATCCATCTACCTCTACTTCCTGAGTGTTGTTGGTATTAAAGGTGTGCACTACCACACCTGGAAAAAAAAATTAATGAAAATCTTAAGAAAAAGCAATTCAAAAACTGAGGCTTGAGGTTAGTTGGGTGAAGGGATATGTCTGGGGGCTTACAGTAAGGAATTGTTAAAAATGGACTTGAAGGCTTGGTGTGTGGTAATCCTAGCACTTGGGAGGCAGAGGCAGGAGAATTGCAGCAAGGTTAATGCTAGTGTGGTCAATATAGTGAGTTCCAGGCTAGCCAGGGCTACATAGTGAAACTGTCTTAAGCAGAGGTACTTGAATGCAGGAATTCTTACTTCAGATTCCAAGTACTTTCCAATATATACTCAGGCCACCAGAGTGTTTACAAGGCCAGAACCTATGTGCTCCTCCTTTCTCTGGTGGCTGACATCCTGAATTGCAGGCAATGAGCTCCAAAGAGGAAGCCTGCCCTGGGCTTCCTTTTCCGCTTCCCCAAGAATTCCAACCCTCTCCTTGCAGAATTTGAACAAGTTTTCAAATTAAACATCAATCGAAATCACCGGGGCTTTAAGAGGGTGATCCAGAGCAAAGGAATCAAATTTGAGATCTTCCACAAAGGGTAAGAATTCTGTCAGACCCACCGGCAAGATAGGAGGGGAGGAATGGCAGATCTGTTCCTGCTGTTCCCCATACCACTGTTTGCTTACATTGAACTCGGTGCCAGTTCATTTCCTGCTCTCTGCCCAGGCTAATCCTCTGCTGTGTCTTGCCTTCCTAGATCCTTTTTCAGAAGTGACAAGCTGGTTGGCACAGCACACCTGAAATTGGAAAGACTGGAGAATGAGTGTGAGATCAGAGAGATCATGGAGGTAGGGTCCAGGATGAGCTGATATTCTTGGAACTCTATTGAGGGTTCTGTGCACATTTCAAATTATCTGTAGTGTGCTTTGGAATGGGTTGTGTTCCCATGTCATAAATGGGGGAAGTAAAAAAGATCTGAGCATCTTTCAAAGGCAGCCAGATAGGAAGTAGTCATACTCTCTCCATAGTCTGGGACTACTTAGGTTCCTAGGAGTGACAGTTGAGAGAAGACCCTGGAGGATTCTGAGTAGTGCTGTATTGTACTTGGGGCAGTGGGCAAGTAGCAGGAGGGAGAAAACAAGCTCCACACAGGAAGTGGATATAGTATTTCTAGAGCATATGCCAGTTGTTATTGAAAACTGAGCAGATAGTTCCTTATGCTTTCATGACCTAACAGGGTTGTACAAGCTGAGGTACTTTAAGAACCTGCCTTTGACAAATGGGGAACAAGCCAGTAGACAAGGGACTTGCTAGTTCCTAATTTGTCCTTAGCAGAGCCAGATCTAGACAGACCCTTACTGATACTTCGTCTGGATTGTCCTAAGGTGGGGTCTAGTCTGAATTGCCTTGAGGGTGGTTGAATTTCTCAAGCATGTTGCTGTATTTAACTATTCCCTTACCTGCCATAAAGGAGGACATGGCCTGAGTTCTACTTGTAACTGCTACCCAGCTATCCACTTCTCTGTAGGCCATGTGTGAGGGCTCTGGGCTTTGGACTACCCCTTGAAGCCATTGCTAAATGTAGGAGTTACAAAGATCAAGAGGAAAAATAGACTAGAGCGATGGGTTTCTTATCTCCAGCCACAGCACTGATACTTAACTATTTCTAGGGAAATTTCACTTATTTATGAGATACACTGAGAGTAAGCACTCCACCACTTCCTGTATTGCAGGAAGCAGGCAGGGTTCTTCAGATGCAAACACCCAGGATTCATTATCTGCTCTGGGGACCTGCCTGCCCCAGACTGTCCCCACAAGTACTGTATTCCTCTGTTGCTATCACAGGTTTTAGATGGAAGAAAGCCTACAGGGGGCAAGCTGGAGGTTAAAGTGAGGTTGCGGGAGCCTTTGAGCAGCCAGGATGTGCAAACGGTCACTGAGAACTGGCTGGTCCTGGAGCCCAGGGGCCTGTGAGGTAGGTAGCTCTGAGGCACCAGATCTCTCTCCCTACTAAAACGGTTTTTTTTTTTTTTTTCCAGCCATTTCTGGGGAGAAAGCCTTTGATTTTTCTCCTCTCTGAAGGGAGACTAAAGCAAAACTATTGGGAAGCGCTTGTGGGGGGGTTTCTCAAGTTCTCAGTAGACTTGGCAGGAAGAGAGCTTTTCAAAGTTAACTGTCTTAAGAAACCTTTTAAAAATCCAATTTGTGCTTTTGCCTTGTGAGGTGGTCAGCACTGAGAGAGAATCAGCCAGCACTGGTATCAGCTCACTGATTCAGCATTGCTGGCTGCAAGAGCCTCTGCACGTGAGAGATGCTGCTACACAAGCACCAAAGACCCATCGAACTAACTGCTGCCTGGCCTTTCCTCGAGCTGCCTCTCCTGGGCTTCCATGAAAGCAGGCCAGGCAGATCCTAGAACCTTCTCCTATAGCCTTCCACCCCTCAGAATGTGGGTGAAGACAAGGATACCCATTGCTCTGTGCCAGTCCTATTGCCCCTTAACCTCTGCATAGTAACGACATACAGTTTAACCTGGCTCCCAGTTGAACCACTTCTGGATGTGCCTTTCAAAGACTTAACTGTAAGTGACAAGACTTGAGGGTGATCGGGACGTTCCCCGCTTAGGGAAGGGGCAGGACTCCATGACTCCTGCTGGTCAGTGGCAGCCTGTCCCACCCAGCTGTTTCCCCCTCTGCCTGTGCCTTTGACCCTGACACCTGCTGCACTAGCCTTTCTGATTCCCAGAGGACTTGGAACAGGAAAAGTTACTTTGGGACTATTGGTGGGAAGGGGAAGGTTTTCTTGGTTTTTGTTCATGTACCTAACATGTTAACTGGGAAAAAAAGAAAAAAAATTAATTTTATGTAGCCATTTTTATTTTAAAACTATGTCTAATTCATCATAAGAACTTTATATTCTAAACAGTATCAGAGTCTTCAAATGCCCTGGCTCCCTGTCACTTTAAAAGCCAAAGCAGTAACAGTGTGTGTCCACTGTGCCTGTGCATTCCTCTTAACAAGGCCTGTCCTCGAGCTGATCACTTGGCTAATCCATTTGTACAAGTGCTATAGCTTTTGGTGAATGGATGGAAATGAAGGGACAGGTAGTTGCAATAGAGTTAACATTCACAAATACATTATTCTAGATTTCTCAGAAATCATCACCCCAACTCTTTGCCCTGCTTTAAAGCATTAACCTCAACAAAGTATTCCTCCAAACTTTTTATTTTTTTTATTTTGGTTGTATGAGGCAGAGTCTCACTCTATAGTCCAGGCTGGTCTTGAACTCACAGCAGTTCTCCTGCCTTAGCCTCCCTAGTGCTGGGATTAAAGTCATGAGCGACCATGCCCAGCTTCCTCAAGATAATTTGGGAAGGCTCTACATGAAGGAAGTACATACAACTGTTGGTCACTACAGTGTTGTGTTGAGCTTGTCTTTTGGAGATAACAGGGCTGGATCATGCTTCTCTGCCCTTAAGAGTTTATCAAAATTGTTTATGGAGAACAAGGAAGAAACTGCTGACAAGTGATTTGATTCCCCCGAGCTCTCAAGCCAATCTTACCTAGCAGATGTGAGCTCCCAGTATTTCATATATGAGATTTAACAATTGTAGTCACATTGCGTGTTCAGCAGTAATTTGGAATGAAAGGGTCTCTGCCTGAAGGAACCCAGAGCAGAGAGGAGTGGCTGAAGAGTTCTGGTCCCACTATACGTTCTTTACAGTTTATGTCTGACTCTACTTGCTAAGATGAAGCACCCCTGGGTTATTCTCCAAGATCCCACTCAGCCCTAGGCATTTCTCACTTGACCCCTCTGCTGGAAGTGTTGTAGTGTTCCGAGATTTGAAGGATGTATTTCCCTTTACAACTTGTTCTTTCAGTCCGCTTGATTGCTCTGCTTATTGAAAAACAACCGCGAGGCTGAGGGGGCCTGACAAAGCCACCCACTGGACTTGGAGACTGGGGTTCTTAAAAGGCCTTTGTTGTAGCCAAGGAATGCATGGGTTGGGGGAAGGGCCTGCATAAAGCCTCATTTATGGAAGATTTGTTCAACCACAGTAACCAAACATTGTTCATGGATATAACTGAGAAGTAGCCACAAAATCATTTATAAATATTGCACTGCACTTCCTTTGAATTACTGAATAAAATCTGAAATTTCAGGCAGGAAGTTGTGTTCATGAAAGGCAAAGATTTGTAAGATTTTCTTCCTTTTATGTAGTACCACTCTAAAACCTGTATGATTGCTCTCCTAATTATTAAGACTCCACCCCACCACCAAAATTTGTGGCATTCCCTAAAAGATCCTGGCACTAAGTGAGGTCAGCTGTTTTGAGTTTGAAATAAATCACATGGCTGGGGCTGGTAGTCCCAGGAAGCATGTACCTGCTGTTTCCAATGTGCCTGGCCTACAAGAGAACCTGTCTCAAAAAAACCAGGAAATACATTATACAATATATGCTTACAAATACATTTGGTAAGCATATAACAATAAATTACCAGGTTATAATTCTGCTCTTCTGTGTAGAAAGCTATTTATCTTTTAGGTTTCAATATAGAAAACCTTGCCTAATGAGGAATGTGATGCTTCAGCATTTCACTTTATAAATTACAGTACATTCTATAAAACCAAAATTAAAAAGTAAACAAGAGTGAGTGAGTATCCTTGATGGCTTAAGCCCAAATTTCCAAAATGATTTTACTACAGAAAGGATATTTTGAGTTAAGAATGTACCTGTCTTTATAGCTCCAGAATTTGTCCTTTGTGGGAGGGTTAAAAACCATGCATGTTCTGGAATATCCATGTCCAACAGCAAAGTAGTTAGCTGGGCAGCAGGATAGGGCAGCTGCTGTAGAAGCACCATCATTTAAAGTATATTCAGGCTAAGCTCAATCTTAACACCAAAGCTGCCTCTGTTAGATGCTTCCTGTTGTAGGTCTGAGGATGGTTCAAGGGCTCTTTTCTTACAAATTAATGTTATTCAAGGCCAAGGGGCATTTCTGAGGCTTTGCACCTATATGTAAGAGAAACATCATGGTCCTGTGTAGCTTCCATTAGCAAATGTTTGGAGAAGTGGGTATAGGGTGTAATCTTCACCCAGCAGAGATTTATATGGTCACAGCCAGACACATCTACTAGCCAAGTCTTTGAGCCTTTGGAAAACAGCTACTTTCCCAAACAGGTCTACAATCAAGGGCCAGGCTCAGCCCTAACTGCAGAAGAGGGGTGGCAACAGCCTCCCACTGTCCCACAGGCCTGCATTTGAACTGGGTCATGTGAGTACACTGCTTTTGTTGTAGAGGAACTAGATCCTGTGTGGCCTAGGCTTCAGAAGATACCATGGACACTACCATCAGTTGCCATAGAGCAGTATATTCCAAACTAAGAGAAATGCATTTGGCCTGTGATCAAAATGTATTTAACAGGGGCTGGAGGGATGGTTCAGAGGTTAAGAGCACTGGCTGCTCTTCCAGAGGTCCTGAGTTCAATTCCCAGCAACCACATGGTGGCTCATAACCATCTGTAATGAGATTTGGTGCCCTCTTCTGGCGTGCAGGCAAACATACAGGCAGAACACTATACATGATTAATTAATTAATTAAAAATAAATTTAACAAAGATAAAATCAAAGTGTATTATATCTTGGGTGAACCAAACCTTGGTTTCCTGTACTATTTCAGTTAAAGGGCTGCTTAGAGATAAAGTGATTCCAAGCCTGGCAGGTAAGTGCAAGATCAGTCTGGAACATCCTGTTAGGCTAAACAGGAAAGAATAACAATAACTGTGTCATGAAAGGGTGCAGGTGCCAGCTTGAAGAGGCTCAACTTCCCCAAAGATGAGCTCACCTGAGTACCAAACTAGGAAAGTAGAACTCCACAATACTAACCTGAAGACTAAATGAATAATGGGGATGAAGGGAAGACTTATTTGTTTATAGATTATTAAGTCCAGCTGGTAAAGAAAGGGCATTCTGGAATTAGAAAGTCATTTGTCAGCTGTCATAGTAAAAGATCAGTACACACTAGAAACATCTGTGGTACAAAGTCTAAGAAATTCTGAGGAGCAAGACATTTGCATAGTCTGAAAAGTGCCTCTCCATATATTGGTTATTACTTTAAAATGGGAAATACATAGTAGGGAAGCTAGCTATGTTGAGCAAATAATGATCAAATTTGCTACCATCTCTGAGAAGCAGAAGGACATCAAGAGATTCTGGCTGAGAATGCAATAAACTGACTATCAATGTCAGACAACAAACTCAAATGACACATTTTCTGCTAAAGCAAAACAAAACTCCAGGATGTTGAGGACCTATACTCAAAAAATACTCATGCCACAAAAAACAACGCCAGTCTAAGCTATGTGTTGTGACTGAGCCTAGGCTGAAAGGTTCACTATTGAGGAAAGGTTCCCAGGATCTCACTAGACAGGTGTGAAGCTAAAGCCACCAGTCCGTGCCAAGTTCTACTTGGACAAGGAATAAACAGTTACTGTAAAGGGGTAAGGCAGACAAATAGCCTGGTTTATACTGAATTACCCTTCCATGGCTAACATGAGAAATCCCTATGGGGTTTGATTCAGTCAGCAGTCTTAACACATGAACACAAATCTAATGTGACTTCTCCTTGCTAAGCAGCTAGGTGTAACCAGCAAGGTAAGTGGAACAGTGGAGCATTCTTTTTATGTCAATTCTGTACAGGAAGTGCAAAAGTGACGCTTCATTGTTTATTTCCTTTCTGCCCCCCACCCTGACCTTGGAGATGGTTGTACCCATATGAGCATTTCTGAGCACATGATCATATGAGAGGAGCAGAATTCTTGTCTAGACAGTAACAGAAGGGGGTTAGCTGCAAAGATAGCATAACTGTTGTGCAGTAAGAAGCTGCCGGGGTCTTCTTGGAGAATGCATAGAAGACTTAAAATCATGGAACATCTGTCCCCCAAAACACCCTCCCACCTTTTCCCCTAAATCCCACTCCCACCCACACCCTCCCTACCAATAGTGTTAACAAAAGCTTAATCTTCCAGTTTTAAAGTGCAAATGATTTGGGTATGACTGCTGTTGCAACAAGTCTGAACAGAAAAACGAAGTCCTCATCTATGCGATGTTTTCCAGAATATAAAAGATGAGTTCCATGACGACAGGGCCCTCACTGAGCTGACAGGCTCCTCCATGGATGACAGGCACCAAAGCGCTGTCCAGATCATTCATGTACTGTGAGGGAAGGGGCTGGCCATTGCTCCCTGCTTGATAGCCAACCTACCAGAGAAAAGGGGGTGACAGGTTACTGAACAGGGAAGATCTGTCCTTTGCCATGAGCTAGACACATGACAGTGAATACAAATTCATCCTCTTAACTGTGGTTTATCATTCTGACACCTACTATCCACCTTGGCCACTTGAACAGCTATGAGACCTTGGACTAGTCCCTTAACCTGCTAATGTCTATACCTGGGAAGGAAACAGATGAGTCAGATAATACTTCAAGTGAGGAATATAGCAGCATTAATTCTTCAGCCCATGCAGTCACCAACCTGCCACTTTTTTAGCAACTGAAAACAAATTTAAAGATAAAGGGCCCTTTCCCTCAAGAGAATCACAAACTTAGCAGAAAATAACATTTGTTCCACGTGAGGGAGCCTCTTTCTAAATAGGTTATCAGTACCAGGTAAGATGGATGTGTACTTCACTAGTACACAGAAATTTTTTTTTTCTAAATTGCATTTAATTTTACATGTATGGATTGTGCGTGCACCATGGTACAGGTGCCATGACATGCATGCAGAGATCAGAGGACAACTTAGGAGTCGGCTCTCTCCTACTGAGTGCATGGGTTATGGGGATTGAACTAAGGGTGTCAAGCTTGGGTTTTGCTGTTTTGAGATAGGGTCTCATATATCTCAGACTGGTCTCGAACTTGCAATG